TCCTCACCCCCAGATCTGTTTCCACCACCACTTTCACAGGGGAACTCCCCCACCCACACCCCTCACCTCCCCCCGAGAGTGCTCGTCACAGCCCAGCACTTGCTGCATCTCCTTCGTTGTACTTAAGAGAAGTGGAGCCGTGGTGATTCTTTCTGATTTGACTGGAGTTTGACTGGCAGAAGCTCATGAGCTGTTTCTGCTCACTCCTATTTGCCAGCAGCCCGCCAAGCATCTAGTAGATCCACAGTGCAATCTTAGGGGGGGAAGGCGGGGGCCCAGATTTTTCCACTTGGAGCTAGTGACTCTTACTGTTCATTGCTGAGTCAGTTTTCATCCTGCCATGGTGTTAGGGTCCCCCAAGAGGAATCCTTACTCTTTGTCTTTGTCTCCCTGAGTTCCTTCCAGATGCTTCCTCGTTTTCCTTTCCCTTCTCCTGGCTGTTGTCTGAAACAGGCGCTTGAGGGAAATGCCTTCTTGGAAATTATTTAAGAATGCTTCTTCCAGAGCCTCTCTGGTGGCGCAAGGGGTTAAGTCTCAGCACTGTGAAGCTATGGCAGCCACTGCGGCCTGAGTTCGATCCCCAGCCAGGGGGCTATCCACATGGCACAGCAGACCTCTCCTGTCTCACCAGCTGCTCCCCTCAGCAGTGTATTTCAGTAGATCTGCCTGTTCTGCTCCCCATTATGTCTCTGGTGAGTCCTCTCACTGCCCCCCACCTCTGGCCTACACCCAAGCTCTTGTGTGCATAAATAAATAAATCTTTTTTAAAAAGGAATGCTTTTTCCATTTTACCCAGAATCAAACAACACCACCTTCCTCCTTCCTCTCTTAAGTGTCTGCACAAACATTTCCAAATTAAGTCCCTGTGAAAAATACCTTGTGAGCAGCCTCAGCGCTGCTGGCAGATGTGCTCGAGTCCCTTTGCAGCAGCCTGACAATTGCTTCCATCTGTTCTCTACCAACGACTTAGCACAGCGCCAGAGCGGAGGTGGCCAGTGAATGTTCGCTGCTGCTGCTGCTGCTGCTGCTGCTGCTGCTGCTGCTGCTGCTGCTGCTGCTGCTGCTGCTGTTGCTGCTGGTTCTCCTTCTCCCCATCCTGCCAAGCTGCTGGTGGAAGCCTGGCTGGCCCCAGGCCAGAGTCTTTCTTCACCTTGCCAAGGGGATCCTCGACTCCATGTCCCTTGCAGACGCAGGGGAGCAGCCGGCCCCATTGGGGGGGTCAGAGCGGCTTCTGCAGGAGCTGACTCTTGCTCTGAGATGCGAAGGAGGAGGAACAGAGTGTGCAAAGATCTGATGGGAGAGTGATCTGGGCAGAAGAATCACAAGTGCAAGGTCCTGAGGTGGAAGCCAGCTTAGTACATCGGAGAAAAGTCAGAAAACAAGGTGGTTGGAGGGAAATGGACAGAAGAGGGGGCCTGGAGGCGCTCGGGCTGGGAGTTCAGGTTTTTGTTCTAAGTGCAATTCTAAGCAATGGCAGGTTTTTAATCCAGAGTCCAGCATGTCCCAGGCCAAGTGTGGGAGGCATTGCAGCCAGTACCTGGAGAACGGGCTGTAAAAGGAAGCACACAGTAGGGCTTCCCAGGATCTTGGGTGAGTCATTCCCTCCTCTGATCCTCAGTTGCCTTGTCTGTATAATGGGCGTGAGATGACCCACCTGTGAGGCTTCCGAGAATGAAGTGATAGAGTAACTTCTGGCTACACAACAAATAAGCGCCCCCCTCAGCATTGTTCACTGTCCCCTCTCCTCGCTCAGTGACGAACGCCCATGGTTTCATTCTTCTGCTGTCACCTAAACCTTTGTGATTACAACTCTGAGATATTAAATGTCTTCGTGAGCTGTCCAGAGACACGCTGCTGGTCATGAAATCTCATACTGCAAGGCACTGGGCTATGGCAACATTTGGGGAACCACGTCTCCAAAGTTAGGCTGCTGCTGTCCATTGTGGACAGCTGTGGGGCCCCGGGGACAGATGCTCCTTCAAGTCTGTCCCTCCCTTTCACAGTAGACAAGCCACCAGCTCAGCAGGTGCTGCCCCCCGAGGGCCGATGTGCTCTTGCTTCTAGAAAAATGCCAGCGCGTGTCTGCGGCAGGCTTTTGCTTTTAAAAGTGTGTTAAATGTATTTCATGGAAGTTATGATGCTGGTTTGGAGATTGTGTTTTTGTTTTCCCTTCTCTTCTTTTGTCTTCTTGCCCAGGGTGGCAGTTAAAGTGTAATTTCTGGAAAGGTAAAATCAAGACTCTTGTGAGGATGTGCAGTAAACTCTGGTCCAAGAATGTATTAATCGGATTCCTTAATGAAGGGACCAGTAATGAAGGGACCCGTAAAATGCTCAGAGAGCCTTTGAGAATCTTGGTATTTACAGGCAGTTGAACAAAGGAGTGTTAGGGTTGTCTTGAAGGGTCCATGCAAATCTGGTTGAACTCCTACAAGCTAATAAACTCCAACCTACATCCATTTCTACTGAACAAAAATTATTACCTTCTTTAAGTGAAAAAAATCTACAAAGCCACACATAACTTCACTAAGCCTTGACTTTAATTCAGTCTTTATAAGATGCTAGAAATGTTTTCCTGCTAAATGCTTCGTCTCTGTGGGTCCACTAAGCCGAGTGCCCACGTTCATGTGAAACCCACTCACAGCAGCTTGAAGGGACAGTAACTGCAGGTGCAGACTAGCAAGGCCTCGAGGTCCATGCTCTGGATATCTCAGAGGTCAGCCTTCCTGAGGGTCACCAGGGGCGGGCAAAAGGCTTCCTTCTTGCCCTGCTCTGAGCGAGGTTGCGCTGTCACCTTGGAGCTGTGTCTCTCCCCTCCAAAGGCCTGGAAATAGGACAGGACAACGTTTGTCTGCATCCACCCTTAACTCGACAGGCAGCCAACCGGCACCCACTGCAGCGAGGGCTGGATCTGTAGTTCTGGGAAGTCTCAGTATTTCCAAGGATGTGTTAAAATAATTTGAAGTTACCTCAACAAAGATTTTAGAAGGAATGTTTTGATATCTAATATCTAATCATGCACAGGGTGAATGGAGGGGGTGTGTAGCCTCATCCCTGGTGGGCGAAGCGTAAATGAGGCAAACCACACGACTGGGCCAGGCCCGGCTGGGGAAAGAGCCTGGTTAGGGTCTCCTAGCCCATCCGGCCCAGAGATGCAGCTGTGGAAACCGGACTGGGGAGTTGCCCACATCTAGCTGTCAAGTTTCTCTCAGGCTGTTGCAGTAGCTAAAAACTGGAAAGAGCTGAAATGTCCCAATTCCAGGGACGACAAGCCTAGTTCATCTGCACCATGGACACCAGCACCAACGTCCAAGGGCAGAGAAGGAAACGGTTGACGTGGGAAGATGTCACCATCTATTTTTTTTTTTTAAAGAACATGATCTTTTTTTTAAAGATTTATTTATTTACAAGAACTGGGGTACAGGCCAGAAGCGCAGGAAGGTGGGAGGATTCACCAGAGACAGAGTGGGGAACAGAACAGGCAGACTGATGCAATACACTGCGGAGGGGAGCAGCGGGCGAGACAGGAGCGGTCTGCTGCGCCTTGTGGGACCCTCACCGGCTGCTGGGATCAAACCGGTGCTGCACAGTGCTGCGCTCAACCGCCCGTGCCACCAGGGAGACCCTGACACCATCTATTTTTAAGTGAAGAGAAAAAGGTCATGAAACTGTGTATTGACTGATCATATGAAGTATTAAAATTGTAACTGTGACTCTCAGTGTGATATAACCCAACATGCACAAGGAAAGCTCTGGGAAGACAAACTAAAGGAGGAACGGACCAGGGTCTCTATGAACATTTTTGTTTTCTCTGTTTGCTTGTCTTTTTCTGTGCTTTTTTAAATGAACTTTGCTCCTGAAATAAGAGTTTTGTGGCTAAAACTTGTCCCTGGTCCCCTGGGAAATCAGTAGACCTTAGAGGGGCTTTCAAGCCCGTTTGCCTGCATGAAGGACCATTATGCATCCGGGGTCTACACGTAGCTGTGTTTCCCTAAATCTGCAGGCCCCATTATGTGTCTAAGCTGCTATTTTTGAGCGGCTGGCCCTCCTTGTCCATTTCCTGTAACAAAAAAATTATGCAAACAAAAATAACTGTTCTCAACAGATGTCGAGAAAGGAGTGGTCATTTTTGCTTCATTTGTAAACTAGGTATGAGGCGCTAAGGAAGGTAAAAAGCATCATTACATATGTTTAGTTACAGAAAGGGGGAAAGTGGTCAAAAGGGTAAATGTCAACGTGGTATGATTACCTCAGATTGTGAACTTATGGGTCGTTTTCATACTGCCTAATTTTTGTATAATGGAATTATATAATAAGGAAGGCAGGGGGGTGACTACATTAGAACCCACAGAAGCAAATTGCTTTCATTTAATTAGAGCAGAAAATTCCAGTAAGGAGGCGGCTTAACTGGCACTGCCACAGCCACAAGAATATATGTATTTTTTTGGAGGGCCATGCGGTTTACCAAGAGAGCCTGGTGGGTGGGAATTCAGAAACCCGGCTGTGTGACCCCAGGAGAGCCCCCGCCCCGTGTCTGTCTCATCAGTGGTGCCTTAAGGAACATTCATGCACCAGTGTGTGCCTGGCGCTGGGGACCAAGCAGCGAATAATGGAGATCGGGTCCCAGTTTTCTGACAACTTCCAGCACAAGTCAGGAGCCCCCCCCCACCCCCAGCCCAGGACCCCTGGAACAGGGATGTGGGAAAAGCCGACCTCACCAGGCGTGAACTAACTGCCACGCACTGTTAAGTGAGCTTCACGCACATCCACCGCGGGGGTTTCACCCGGGAGGCGGAGAGCCCCATTATGCCCATTTCAAGGCCAGGGAGGTGCTGGGAAGTCACAGAGCCAGGGCTTCCATCCACATCACGTTAAATCAGCACCACGAGGGCCCATTAGGGAGCCCAGGCTGGTCTTAGGGTGCAGGTCAGACTTCCCTGAGGATGTGACACGTCACCTGGGACCCCAAGGATGGATAGGAGTAAACTGGGTAAAGGGTGGGGATGAGGTCCCCTGGGCAAAGCAGCTGGGAGCAGCTGGGAGCTGCTGGGGGCTCCTGGGGTGGCCAAGGACCCACCCCCCGCAGCGGCACTCATAACCACACCTGCTCTCCCCCGTCCCAGGCGCTCCTGGCCAGGGCCCTCTACGACAACTGCGCCGACTGCTCCGACGAGCTGGCCTTCTCCAGGGGAGACATCCTGACCATTCTGGAGCAAAACGTGCCGGAAAGCGAGGGCTGGTGGAAGTGCCTGCTCCATGGGAGGCTGGGCCTGGCCCCCGCCAACCGCCTCCAAATCCTCACGGAGACCCCCGCAGACAGGCCCTGCCCCCCCTTCATGAGAGACTCTCTTGCCGGCCCTGAAAAGACCTGCCAGGCGCCCACCCTGCTCAGCCCCTCGCCGCCTGGCCCCGTGTACGAGCAGATGAAGAGCTGGGTCAGGGGACCCCCGCCAGCCGCCGCCCAGGTCTACGAGGTCCCCAGCCCCCCGGCCAGCGGCAGCATCGTCTGTGAGAAGGTGCTGGGTGCGCCGAGACAGGTGAGCTGGTTCAGACAAAAGACCCGGCCCGAGGGTCGCTGACACCCAGGGGCCTCAGGCCCCCTGGACTCACAGGAGACCAGATGTGCAAAATGGGGATCCAGACTGCTGGGGTTATGGGGGAGCTCGTGCTTGCCCCCACTTGAGTTGTCATTAACACTCTGCACCCCAGTGGTCCCCCAGCTCTCCAAGACACCCACACTTTGTGGGAACTGAATGCTTAGCTGAGCCATTTGCAGAAGCATTAGGGCTGCTCATGGGGGAGAATGGGGCTGCTTTAGACTCGTGGTGATGGTGGCAAATGTTGGGGTTGAATTTCCGTGGGCTCAAAGACCAGAAATTCTCGTCAGATTAAAATATATTCATACACCTGTCAACCCAGGAATTCTAGGTCTAGAATTGCTACAGAAACACACGAGAGGGAAGCAGATCTCCGGTCGTGGAGGCCACGGCTATTGTAACATCACTTGTTCAGGGAGAAGTCAGAGGTGCCGAGGTGTGCGGTCATGGGGGGCTGGGGGTGAGGCGTGTGCAGGTGTCCAGGTGTAAAGCTGTCCTCCCCAAGCCCTAGAGTTTGGTAAGTGCAAGGTAAATCAGTAAATACTGATTTAAAAAAGAAGGAAAAGCCAAGCAAACAAAAAAACCATCAAGGAAAAAACCCACCCAATTCCCTGGAGTGTGCGTGCGTGCGTGTGTGTGTGCGCGCGCGCGCGTGCTCACGGGATGGAAAGAAGACACGCCCACCGTGGTTACCCCTAAAGGGGAATTGGTGACGGAGAAAGAAGAAGAAAGGCATTTGGCTGAGACCTGCGTTTTCTTCTCTCCTTTCTCCCAGCCCTCAGGACCCAGCGTGATGGAGGGAGAATGTTAGGCGGGACTCACTCAATAGATTGGATGAGCCAAAAGATTAAATAGTTGACCTGTGTTCTAGAAAGTATGGTTCCATCTGTAACTTGAAAAAATAGCAGTTTTTAAAAAACAGGGGAAAAGAAGCCCTCAGTAAACACAGCAGAAATTTTTAAGGGAATTACAAAAGAGCAAAATAATGTGGTGTCTTCCCGACACCCACTGCTCCCTGCACCCCCATCTGGCCTTCCTGGGGTGTTAAGAACACAGTGTAGTTTTGCATGGTCTTCAGCCTCGAGGGCCTTTCCAGCCAGCACACATGAGATCTCAGCTCCAGGGACCCCGCACAGGTGGCCACAGTGCCGGGGAAGGGCTGCTCCCCAAATGGTGCTGGGGGCCTCCAGGAATACTCCCCACCATCGGCCAGTGCCCCCTTCCTTCAGCATGAAGCTGATTTCTTTTTTTTTTTTTAAGATTTATTTATTTATCTATTTATACAAGCACTGCGTACAGTTAGAAGCATGGAAGGGTGAGAGAATTCACCAGAGCCAGAGCAGGAAGCAGAGCAGGCAGACTGACGAAATACACTGCTGAGGGGAGCAGCGGGCCCAGCAGGAGAGGTCTGCGCACCATATGGGACCCTTGCCGGCGGCCAGGGATTGAACCGGTGCTGCAGAGGCTGCGGGCAGCTTCGTAGCCCAGCGCTCAATCGCTGCGCCACCGGGGAAGCCCTGAAGCTGATTTCTTAAAAGATTTTAGATTTTAGATCCCGCGGACTTTACATCCACCTACAGCACAGCTGCCTCCTGCGGGCGCGAGCTCCGAGCCCCAGGGATGTCGCTGAACTCCAAGGGGAGCTGGGCCTTTCTAGAACAGCTGGCCCCAGGGCAGGACCTAGAGGGGTTCCTCCCACAGCACAAGTGGCCTCAGTGGCAGCTCTTTTCAGTTGCTTTTCAAAGCCACTAAAGAAAGCAAAACAAGCAGAAACCACTGTCCATGCCTGTCCCTGAAAGGGGAGCAGTGGCTGTGCCACCGTCTCCAGCTTTCCTGACACCCAGACCAGCGCCAGGGGTCTGGGCTCAAGAGACGGGAAAGCCTTTGTGACCATCGACCTCACTCTCAACTTCTAGACTCACAGACAGTCCTGGACACCAAGTGTCGGGGCGACTGGCACCCTCACTGGCGCGGCTGCAGTGATACCAGAAACCACATCCACAGAAGGGGAAGCCAGAAGCCAGGGCACGTGGCCGCTCAAATTGGGTTCTTGAGGTGGCCCCATAAAATACCCAGGGAACTTTGCTGCCCTTGTTTTCTTGTTCAACTTCCCTCCACGGCTGCCCTGGCCACATCTATTCTCTCGTCCTCCCACTGGTTTTTCCCTCCCTTCTCTGTGCTTGGGGGTCTCTTAAAGCAAGCACTGCCTCTGGGGCCCAGGAATCAGGATTCCTGGGCCTGGGTCACTTGGTTGTGGGCAGCCTGGCCCTGTGGACAACTGAACACTTCGAAACGCCCCTCTGCGTGCCTCTTTCTCGCTCTGTATCTCAAGAGCGCTGCACCCCATCATTTCTGAGGTCACCTCTACTCGCTCCTTTTGGTGAGACTGGAAAGTTTCACCTCTTCCTCTACTGCAAGAAGCAAAGGGCTGGAAGAAGCAAGATGATCTGTTACAACTCCTCTGATCCTCTGAAAAGGCAGACATCTCCCCGCTAATGTGAGCAGGTGACTGGCCCAGGTCTGAGACCACTGTGCATTCAGAGTCCTGAGGGCAGAGCATTGCCGGGACCAGGTGTGTCCAGGTGTGTCCAGGTGCTCCTCGAGCTGTTTTCCTGCAGGCCCACGCAGCCCAGACAACCATGTCCACAATGGCTGGATTATCTCTAGAGCAAGCTTGGCCTAAATTAGAAGCTGGCACGGGAACAGGTCGCGTGGCTCAGCTTGTCCTGAGAGGAGTCTGCATGGTCTTGTGCGGCTGGAAGCAGCAGCTTCCAGCTGGAGGGGATTGGCGACAGAACAGCTGTCCATTTTACAAATGAGGAAATGGGTTTCTGGGGAGGTGAAAGGCCCCTCCAGGGTCACACAGCCGGCAGAGACCCGAGTGGGAGGCTTCCTTGCTTCCGACCGGACATCCTTACCTGCTCCGGCCCAGACACGCAGGCCGGCCTTGAGCCTGTTAGCTGCCCCTGGTGGACGCACCCCTTCTCTGCAGCGAACTTTGTACTGCAGCCAGGTCCTAAGGGTGGGGTTCGGTCCTTAGACCCAGATCAAGCAGCACAACGAAACCAGCAGCCAGAGCTGCTTTTTCCAGCCACTTCCCCCAGCAGCCACAGGTTTTACTTTTTAGTCCAACTTCCTTAATATAATATGTGGGCCGGACTTTTAAAAAAAATCACCCTGCAATGAATGTGATGAATATATTTGGTTTTGGTCTAAATTCAGAGAGAGGAATCATTCGTATTTCAAATGAAAAGGGTCAGATTTCTTTGTGAAATTGCTCTCGCACCCACCAGTTCCTGAAATGGAGCTTCCTTTGGGGGTTCCCCAAGTCTCTTCAAACCAACCTTTCAAACATGTTCCTGAAATCATTGCCAAATTGAACCTACGTTTTTCTAAGAAACACTGGGCATTTTCCTACCAGCTTCCTTCCATCCGTAACCCCGCCCCAGGGAAGTCCCTTTGCTTTCTCTGTGGGTGACTTTGTGTCACCCACAAAGTCAGCTTCATTGGTAAATGGGCCTAGGCCAGGGGAGCAGGGGAGGAAGGAACAGCACGGGAGGCTTTGTGGTGGGGGTGCTTGGTGCGTTGGGATAAGTGGGTGCTGGGAGGAAGGTCCAGGGGTGTGATGGTCAGTGGGGGACGCGTGCGTCTGGTGTGGGCTTGGAGGGAGCACGGCTCTTAGGAGCGCGGGTTCAACTTCCGAGTGTCATGGGGAACCAGTGACGAGTTTGTCCTGGACCCATCAGCCAAAGGCCAGAGGAGACCACATCAGATTTATGGGTGCACTGAGTGAGGCGACCCACAAAGTGGGGGGGGCCACAAGCATGTGTCAGCAGAGGATGAGACTAATCACAGGCGAGGACGCGGGGCTTTGGAGGAAATGTAGGTGAAGGAGTGGATGGACTCTGTGCAAAACGGGGCAGTGTGTTTGGGGTCACTATCAGTCCAGGCTGCAAAGTGGACTCAGCCACTCCCTCCTTGGGACCCCCAAAGTCAGAGTAGACATGGCACATGGCACCTGGTGGCACTTCTCTGAAGTCCTGGCCTGAGGCCAGGAGTCGCGGCTGCTCCCTGGCGGAGGAGATGCTCCCTTCTTATCGCTGGACCCTCAGACAGCAGTGCCCTGGGAGCCTGGGCTTTCACAAGAAGGTGGCTTGTTGCCGAGAGACGTCAAGGCCTGGGATGTGTCTCGCTTGACAACTGTGTCCCGGGGAGGAAGGTCCTGCTTTGGCTTTGTAGCGGCTTCATGTGCGTCTGTTATTCCAGCCTGTTCTCTGGCCAGACCCCTGGGCCCTCCCTACTGCCACACCTTCTTTCACCCAAAACAATCAAATGAATGAATTTGAGCACTAACCTCGTGCCAGGCCCCCCATCCCTTGTGTCACCCGCTGACTTCATCAGCTCTCAGCCGAGTGACATGGCCTGTCCTCTAGTTGGGGGCCTGAGGCTCTTCCCTTAACCCCCAGGCAGGCAGGTCACCTCCGGCCCCACCTCTGGAGCGTCTCGCTGGCCTGTGAGCCCCACGTCCAGTCCACGGGGACACTCTGGCCCATGAGACACCAGCGGGCCTCTTGGTCCCTCTTTGTGCCTCAGAGCCCCCTACCTTTCAGCCACGGCTGCATCCGTGGGCCTCCCAGGCTCAGGTTAAATCACAGGGAAGCTTGTGGGGATGCCGCAGATCCCAGGGCTCCCCATGAGGACACACAAACTCAGTGCAGCTGGTGTGGATCCCAGAACCTCAATTTCTCACCAGCTTCCAGATGGGGTGGTGCAAGGGGACCGCCCACCGTGTGCTGCTATTCCTCACCTCAGAGTGAAGGACAGCAGTTAGGGGTGCTGGTGAACGCCCCAATTGTGCCAGAGCTGCCTCCGCCCTTGGGGGGGCGACTTTGAATGTGATCTGTAGACCCCTGGGGCATTTCCTTCCCTCACCTCTTCTTTTCTCCCCCAGGCCCTCTTCACAACTCCCAGGCCTGCCTGGGCCTCCATGCCGGCTCTGCAGCCCCCGCTGTACGACAAGCCGGCCCAGAGCCGGGCGCCCCCGGCCCTGAAGGTGAGCACCCCCACCAGCCCCCAGGGTGGCCTCCGAGTGTCACGGACACTGCATCTTTGCTTTACCAGCAGGGGTTTTCTGGAGCCGCCCACTGACCCCAAAGGACCCATCACACTCAAAAGTCATCTCTAGGGCCGGAGCGCCCAGGCCAGCTTGGGAGAAGATCGTGCTACTTGAATTACGACTACTTTTTAAAAATTGTACTCTTGACCTGTCGTGGGTGTTTTAATCCATGCATACACAGCACCCAGCCGCCTTCTTCCAAAAGCCCAGGCTCCCAGGGCGCTGCTGTCTGAGCAGCTATGCACATACATATATGTGTGTTGTTAAATAATAATCTCTTGAAGGATGTACACCAGAATCATAATGATCTCTGCAGGGTGAACATTTTTTAAAAATTTATTTGTAGTGGGCCTCCCTGGTGGTGCAAGAGGTTAAATCTCAGCACTGTGAAGGTATCTCCAGCCTCCGCAGCACGAGGTCGATCCCTGACCAGGGAGTGACCCACATGGCGCAGCAGACCCCTCTTGTCTCCCCGCTGCTCTCCTCAGCAGTGGATTTCAGTAGATCCACCTGTTCTGTTCCCCACTCTGTCTCTGGCGAATCCTCCCACCCCTGCACCTCTGGCCTACAGCCCAGCTCGTGTATGCATAAATAAGTAAGTCTAAAAAAATTGTATTTGTAGCTAGCTAGTACATCGAATTGGCGAGACAGGTTTTGTGTCATCAGAAAACAGCTTTTCTCATCGTTTAGCCCATCAAAACTGCTCTGAGGCTGCGTTCTCCTTGCCCTATCAATGGAGATAAAAAGCTGGGGACCTCAACCAGACCCACTGCCTGCACTCTCCAACTCCAGACTCCATTGTTTGAAGTCAGGGTGGGCTCCAGGCAAAAGAATTGTAAAGTTCCCACACGCTTCTCAAGGGTAGCCAGGGCTGGCAGTCAAGTTCTGATCAAGATGAAAACCTGCAGGTGCTGGGCCTCCCCGGTGGCGCAGCGGTTGAGCGCTGGGTTGTGAAGCTGCCCGCAGCCTCTGCAGCGCCGGTTCGATCCCCGGCTGCTCCCCGGTCACTGGAGGAGGGTCCCAAATGGCGCGCAGACCTCTCCTGCCACCTGCTGCTCCCCTCAGCACTGTGCTCCGGTCCTTCTGCCTGCTCTGCTCCCCGCTCTGGCTCTGGTGAATTCTCTCACCCTCCCGTGCTTCTGACTCTACCCAGTGCTTGTATAAATAAATAAATCTTTAAAAAAAAAAAAAAGAAAAAGAAAACCTGCAGGTGCTGGTCACTCATGGTGACAAGAAGTCACTTTAGCTTCCCCAAGGCTCATGGAGGAATTGAAATGTCCAGAGGAGCGTCGTCCCTGAAGCCCCATCGATGTTTTCATTTGGAACAAACTGGAGTAGGGAGAGTGTGCGCTGCACAGTCATCAGGAGGGAAAAATCCAAATCATCCTCTTGTGGTCTTTTCCCCAGGAGACAGAGAAGCAGAGATTATATGACATACCTGCCAGCCCCCAAAAGGCAAGACTCGGTGCCCCTGCCACCCAAGCAAGTGTAAGTATGCCCAGGGGCTGAGGTTCGATACCATGAAAATCCTTTGGGAAGCTTCATTAGTGTGGTCCAAATTAGGAATGTAATTCCTTATGGCAGGCATGTGCTTGGGACAGACTGTCTCCAGGGGAGGACACGGCTCTAACTTCTCTCGTGTCACAGACATACTGCAAGAATTAAGTGAGGTGATCCTTGCAGAAGACCAGATCTGGTGCTGGGCACAGAGCATGAGCTCACTAGCTTCTGAATCAATGCTTCTAGTTATCATATCCCTCAGAGGGGTGTTGTGCTAAAGTGGGCTTTTACTTGTCTAGAGTTGACTTACTGGAGTCCATAATCCATGTCGATCGTTGGAGTCTGTCACGTGTATGTAATAAAACCCCTATGGCTAAGGTTGCACCATAGAGGCAACAACATCTCAGTAGGGCCATGAGGGATGTGTAGGAGTTTGCTGGATGGCAAGGAAAGGGATGGAAAGGGCATTTAGAAGAGAGGGACCAGCTTGGGGAAAATTCAGCATAACAGTGCAAAGGAAGCATTCTGAGTTCAGAGAAAGGCAAACAGCCTGGGTGTCTGGGTTCTGCAAAGAGGGTGGGAGCAGAGTGGTGTGAAGGTTTAGTGGAAGTGGAGAGAAAGGAGATTCAAAGGAGGACCGAACTAGATAGTGAAGAGCCGTGTGTGACGACAGCAGTGGGCGCCCCCACAGGCATGCAGTAGGTCCTCAGCACGATATACATTGGTCAGAAGTGTCACTCACACCCCCTTTTCATTGCTACTAAATCAGGCGACCCTGTGTGGTTCTTCCCAGGGCCAGAGTGTCCCGCTGACATCAGCCACAGCCTTAAAAAATAGTGGCTACAGCACTTTGCCAAACCCTCAGAAGTCAGAATGGATGTATGACACGCCTGTGTCTTCAGAAAAAGCCAGTGTCAGAAATGCAGCTCTAACCGGCTTCATGGAAGGATCGCGGCCCCAGGCCCACCCCTGGCATCTGTCCAGCTCCCCGAGTCCTCCAGACAGCAGAGCCCCGTCCCTCACGCCACACCTGCCTAAAAATGCATCCATGCAGAAAAAACTCAGCCTTCAGGAAATTCCTTCCTGTGGCCGCCCAGCACCCCGGGACGCGGTCCCTTTGGAAGAAGGAACCAACTTCAGGGTTCCTTCCAGCTTCCTGGCTCCCCGGGTGGAGCAGCAGAACACCAAGCCGAACATTTATGACATCCCTAAAGGGATGGTGAGTGACCCCCAGCCCAAGAAGGAGCTGGGCAAAGCGGGCGGAGCTCCAGAGGCCCCCCGGGACCCGGCTTCCTGGTGCTACCCCAGACAGGCGGCCTCGCTGTCTCCCGACCTGGACAGACTGTCTGCTTCTAGCTCTGACAGCAGAGCCAGCGGCATGTCTTCTGGCTCCTCCACATCCACTGACTCTTTGTCCAGCTCCTTCTCAGAGGAACCAGCAATGGAGCAGCCCATGGGCCAGGACTTGGCCAAAGAGACGGCGGCGGTTCTGCAGCACCAGGTGGCTGGCTCCGTCGCGGGCCTGATGCTCTTCGTGAGCAGGCAGTGGCGGTCCCGAGAGCACCTGGAGGCCAACGTGGATGCCGTCCGCAGGGCGGTTGAACACATAGAAGGATCTTTGAGAGAATTCCTGGCCTTCGCCCGGGCGGTGGCGAGGACAGCCTCTCGGCTCACTGACTGTCACCTTCAGGCCAGAATCCGGGAGCAGCTGCAGGTGATCTCCCACTCGCACCAGATCCTGCAGGAAACCAGGGAAAGCCTGGAGAGCGTCAACTGGTCCCTGGAAGTCCTTGTGACTGACAAAGGCCAAACCAGCCCCGATGACCTGGAGAGATTTGTCATGGCGGCACGGACGGTTCCAGAAGACGTCAAGAGATTTGCCTCCATGGTCATTGCCAACGGGAGGCTCCTTTTCAAGCACAGTTGTGAAAGGGGAGAGACTGTACTGTTGACCCCAAATGCAGAATTTAAGCTTGCAAAATGCAATCGACTTCCCCAAAGGGAATCCGAATCGTACCAAAGCAGCTCCCCTTTCAATCGACACAGAACCAATGTCTGCAACCAGGTGAGTTCCGAGTCCCAGCTGGTGGCTCAGGGCTCAGTGTTACTGAGAGGACACCCTGAGCACGATGCTGCGGATCTTTCTAGAACTGCTAGGCTTTGGGGAGACCTGGGCTGCACTTTTCAGAAAATAAAATTCTCGAAAGGAAAATTCTAGATGAAATTGTTTTAAGAAGTCAGATGAATATTTTGATGTTAAGGCGGGTAGAAAGTCTTCTGGAAATGTGGGGGCCCGGGGTTTTTCTCCACTCCTCAAAAGGGGAAGAATTACTTTTGAAATTCAAAGGTTTGATTTCAAACCTTTTGAAATCTGCCCTTCGAGCAAAATTTTTTCATCTCAAGTTTCCTTGCATCTTTAAAAGCTATACATCTAGTCACTGTAGTGGATTCTTAGAAACGGAAGAGGAAGTGTAAACACTCTGAGTTGTGGGGGTTTTAGCCACCTCCAGGCTCCGGCTGCTCATTGCACGCTTTAGCTGCCTGAGCTCCAGCCCTGCAGAGAGAGACCTCAGCGCAGGGTCAGTCACGAGTCTGAGGGCGCAGCTGGGCTCGGGAGACTTGTCACATTCAACACGTTCTGCCCAGTCTTGGCATCTGCTGACATGCCTGGTGGAGTGAGAGCTTTGGCACCTCCAGAGAAGCTAAGAATGTGGACATTTTTCATTTCCCCATTTTAAACATGCGTGTAACTCCCTTAAGAGTTAGGTGATTTTGTTGCTGTGTGAATGTCACGGTGTCATTGCACAAACCTAGATGTCATATTTGGCCACGTTGGTGGGTGATGCCCACCAGGGATGCCGCAATGTCCTTTGTTGGCAGAGGCATCAGTAGGCAGAGCCATCCACAAAAACTGAACTTCAGCAGCTACTAGAAACACTAGTGGAAACCACCATGTCCATGATCAACATAAGGCATTGTAGTTAAAAACCATCCAAGTTGGCAATTCCAAGGTATTTTATTTTATCAGAAGCTGCTTAACCTACAAGAAAGAGAAAAACCCACCTTGGAACCAAGATTGGCTGTCAACAGAGACTTAGAAACCCAGGTAGGTGTTACCACATATTACAATTTTGAGAGATGTAGCTTATCCCTACAATTGTTCTCTGCTATGAATATTTCAACATTATAGGCAACACACATGGGGAGGAGGGGTTTGGTTTGGGGGATGGTTTTCCCTTTTTTACAGTAGAAGGGACAAGCCAAGTCCAGAGAACCCCAGGATGTAGAATATAATCTATTAACCTTCAGTGAAATAATTCACATTCTGTATTTTTATCATGGATGAAACTGGTATGCATTCAAGTAGCACAAACTCACATTCCCTTTGACATTCTCTAATTTTTCTGATTATAACAACAAAATAAAAACCACATTTTGGGGGGCCCGTATCTTTAACACCTTGTTGACACTTGCTGTTCTTCCTCTTCTGTTTTTTTTTTAAGTCTAGATGTTATCTTGTGCCTCTTTTTATCAGTTGCTTTCTATTGGTGGCAAAGTTCACTTGTTTTCCATTTACCAGTTTTCAAAATTTCCTTTGAGTTAATTTAAGTAAACACAGGGACTTTTTTAATTTATTTTTTATTTTTAAAAATTTACTTATTTATGCATACAAGAACTGGGGTGCAGGCCAGAGGTGCAGGGGTGAGAGGATTCACCAGAGACCGAGTGGGGAGCAGAACAGGCAGAGTGACCAAACTACACTGCTGAGGGGAGCAGCGGGGAGACAGGAGAGGTCTGCTGTGCCATGTGGGTCAGCTCCCTGGCCAGGAATTGAACTTGTGCTGCAGTGGCTGGACTCCCACCCCGCCACCCCATCCCCATCCCCTCCCAGTCTATCTCTGAGACTGAGATAGAAAGGATTTTAAAAGATCTTTAATCTGTTGAATAAGGGTTTAAATCTTATCATCAAGTTTGCTGGCATTTTTTGAAGTTTATAAATTTAGTCTTTAAGGTATTCCTTAGCATGGGTTTCTGATGGCTTGTTGGAGGATTGAGTAAGAATCTCTCTCTAGCATGTGGAAGATTTTATATATGCACAATGCGATTTATAAGTTGTTTCTGTAAATACACTCATACACTATAACTCACTGCAACAGTATTTTGAAAGCATTAACTAATTTGTTAGGCAGATGTTGTGTATAGGACTTCCCAAAGTTGTACTTTTTCATGTGACGAGTCTAGCCAATTGAGCACAAGCAGGAAAAGCGAGACCACACCAGCCTGCTGGAGGGATCTCTCATTGAGCTACTGTTTTCTTCTCTTTCTGTAGAATCCTTGCTGTCCTACCCCCCAATCTTCCAGTCTACAGAACCCTGAGAAAAGGATCCACCTTTCCGAACACTGCCGCCTCTACTTTGGGGCACTCTTCAAAGCCATCAACGCCTTTTCCAGCAGCCTCAACGACAGCCAGCCCCCCGAGATCGTCATCACGCAGAGCAAGCTGATCATCATGGTGGGGCAGAAGCTGGTGGACGCGCTATGCAAGGAGACACAGGACAGGGACGCACGCAACGAAGTCCTCTGTGGCAGCAACCACCTGTGCAGCCTGCTCAAGGACCTGGCGCTGGCCACCAAGCAGGCAGTGCTCAAGTACCCCAGCCCCGCAGCCCTGGGGCACCTGAAGGCCGAGGCCAAGAAGCTGGAGCAACACACGCAGCAATTCCGGGGGACCTTGGAATGAGCCTCCCCCCCCCGGCATGCTTTGCCCCCACCCCATTAACCTCTTAGATTCAGCAGCACACCCACAACCATGCACCCCTGTCCTATGGTACAAAACAGTCTGGGGGTATCCCAGCGGGAAGAAACAGCCAGTGCTGGTCTGAGCAAGTGACTATATAACCGCAGGACACTGACACAACTCACAGAGTCAGGGGTCAACCAAGGACCTCGCTGAGCTCTTGGAATATCACATTGGAAGTGATGCTGTAGAAAATGACTTTAATTTGCTTAAATATGTGCCTGTTTTAAATTCATTCATGATCTCTTTATTTATAAAAAGAACCTATTATATATCAGATTCTAGGTGCTGGGTATAGAGCTGTAATCCAAAGTGGCTTTGACCTCATGGAGCTTAAAATGTAGTAAAGAGACAGACAACTAAGTGAAAATACAATGTATCAGGTGGTCAGGAGACAATAGAAGAGAGCTTATTTTCAAATGATTCATTCCTGTTACATCTGTTCAAAAATGTGTGTTATTCATTTGGGATTGAATTAATTGTGTGAGATGGGTCCAAAGTGTGTCTATGTCTTTGCACCAAAAATGTATATATTTTTGCTATTTTATCTTAAATGCCACATGCTGCATTTACAACATAACATATTCTGTTGTGTTCCCTATTAATTTATTTTGTATGTTATAGATTCTGTGTGGATAAATTTAGTATGCTCCATTAGAAAAGGTTTATCTTTAGCAATCTCAACTCTGTAGCCATTTAAAACATTCTATACATGCCATCATAATTGAACCAAGTACCAAAGAAAACCTCCAATGTTTGCTTTCGTTATCCAAAAGCTCCCTCCCTCGCCAAGTGTGCAGGGACATGCGTAGTGGTCAAGTTCTTAGACACAAAGCTAGCACAGGCAAGGCCGAGCCAACACTTGTGCTGAGGCAACCAGGAACTGTAGTGGTGTGCATGGACAGGATGCCCATCGCCCACAGGGTGCAGATCTGAAAGTAATACAAAGGTCCCCCTGAGTCAAACCACCCCCTTATCCTCTCCTAGCAACTGGGTCTTTAGCTCACATTGCTATGGTTACAGCACCTCTACTTCACCTCAATTGTCTATATAGGTTCATATCTCTTATATGCATCTCAGGACTGAACATCTTTGCGGCCTGGAAACTGCATCTCAGGCTAGAAGTTACCTGGTGCATTTCCTCTCTGCCACGCTGCACTTAGGTATTTTACAATGGGTGACTGCTGGAAAGTTGGCTCTTTTCACTGAGTTAGACTCGGGAAGGACTGAGAGTCTTTGTGAAGCTTGGTTCTCTATACCAGAGCAGCGACACCCACATTCTTTGAACAGGACTCCTTCTGTTACAAGTCATCAAAACTCCAATCCAATCCACATTAAACAGTAAAGGAAATTTATTGTCTGAAGTATCTTAACATAATCCAGAGGCAGCCTGGCCTCAAGGCCGAGGGTTTTAGGTGCTCCAATAACATCATCGAGTTTCTGGGTCCTACTTCCTCCGGGTTAGCTCTCACGAGTGCAAGGTTGTTGGATGCCCAACTTGATTTGGTAAGACCTGCTTGCAAGCAGGTCTTACCAAACATAAGGCATGCCCTTCTTGATTTGTGCCCGGAGAAGGAGACATGACAGATTCTGCTGGGCTTATTCAGACCCCCTCACAACTCCAGGATGATGGGGCATGGTGTGACCCCTGAACACACACGCACACCACATGTCCACTCCGTGGGTCCTTTGAAGGAATTGTTCTATTGAGAACTGAAATGTCTGTGATTTCCCCCTATTTCAAGTTAATCAAAAGCCTGCCAGTTTCACAGATACCGACAGAAGACACCAGCTTCTGGGGTCAGAGACTGCATTTGGAGTCCCCCAACACCATCCCCAGGCCTAACGATTCGCTGGGAGAATCCGCAGGAGTCAGCACATGCTTGAATTCACAGCAGTGATCTATTATAGGGTGAGGATCCAAAGCCAAGTCAGCAAAGGGGAAAGGCACATGGGGTGAAGCACAGAGGGAAGCAGGCACAAGCCCCCAGGGCCCTCCCTGGGGTCACCTGGCCACCCTCAACTACCCAGCAACGACTTGTGACAACATGTGTGAAATATTGCGGGCCGGGAAAGGAGGCGAGAGCTTGTACCCAGGGTTTTATTGGGGCAGATCAGGCAGGCAGCGTCCTCTGTGTGCACCCAAATTCCAGGTGATCGCAGGGACAGGCAGGGGCTCCGCCTGCATCGTGCTCACACAGCATGAACTGTGATTCCATGGATGGGGAACCTTCTCAGGTCCAAGTCTCTAGACAAAGGCAAAGCTTGCAAGCAGGTCTTTCTGAGAACACCAGTCAGGCTTGCACTGTCCACTCTTCTGCACCAAGGACTTTCTTACCAAACATAAGCAGCTGAAGCTTCGCCTTACCATGGTTTCTCCCCCCCAGCCCCAACCTTGGCTGTGCATGCAATGGGCTTATGTCAAAGCCAAGGAGTCCTGAGCAAAGGAAAATCCCATCTTTTATTTATTTTTCATTAAATGTATTTATTTTCTTACATCATTGTTCATTTTTGGATAGCGTATGATTTCTCCCCCCGCCCCGCCCTGCTGCGGTCCCCATAATTCTCCCATCACCACAGCCCCCGTGACCCCTCTCCACAGCCCCTTGCGCTCTCTCTACCCCTCCCCTGCTATGAGCCTCAGATCTGTGCTCTTAGATTCCGCCGCACACCCACAATCCATGCACCCCTCTCCTATGGGACAAAACAGTCTGGGAGTATCCTGACGGTATGGCAAGTTTCATCTCTTTCCTGCCCCTGTGTTGGGCTCTGCACCCTGCACCAGCATGACCAAGCTTCATACAGGGAGATGTTGTATTTTTCAGGCTGAACAGCAAGCAAACCCGCCCTTCCACTCTGGAGGGCATTTGCTACAAAGAAAAGACACTGCAGAAACAAAGTGCTATTAGTGCCTCTGCTCAAAAAGCTGGTGAGAACAGGGTCCCCACTGGAGCCCCCACAAAGTCAGGAGTGCGGTTGGAAGAAGGGGGGTGCAGGAAGGTGCCCATACATCCTTCCTCCAGTGGGTGACATTATTTTTTGCACAATAATAATAACAGCAGCACATATTTATTAAGGAATTACTATGCTCCAGACGCTGCTCTAACACTTTATTTTTTTTAATATTTATTTTTATTTATGCATACAAGAGTTGGGGTACAGACAAGAGGTGCGGGGGGGTGAGAGGATTCACCAGAGACAGAGTGGGGAACAGAACAGGCAGCTTGACCGAAGTACACTGCTGAGGGGAGAAGCAGGCAAGTCAGGAGAGGTCTGCTGCGCCATGTGGGTAGCTCCTTGGCCGGGGATCGAACTTGTGCTGCAGAGGCTGTGGATTGCTTCATAGGTTGAGTCTTTTTTTTTTTTTTAATAGAGGCATGTTTTATTTATTTATTTATTTTTTTATTTGTTTGTTTGTTTATACATGCACTGGGTACAGTCAGAAGCGCGGGAGGGTGAGAGAATTCACTGGAGCCAGAGCGGGGAGCAGAGCAGGCAGAAGGACCGAAGTACACTGCTGAGGGGAGCAGCGGGCGGCAGGAGAGGGGCGCCATGTGGGACCCTCCTCTGGTGGCCGGGGAGCAGCCGGGGATCGAACCGGCGCAGCAGAGGCCGCGGGCAGCTTCGCAACCCAGCGCTCAACCGCTGCGCCACCGGGGAAGCCCTCATAGGTTGAGTCTTAACCCATTGCGCCACCATACATGTATGTAGAGACACAGACAGGATAGATGAGAGACAGAGAGACAAACAAAGAGAGAGAGATCTGCCTACATATATCCATATATATTTCCTTTCGAGATAAGGTCAAACCATGAATTTTTGTTGCCGAAGTACAAAACCATTGAGGTTTAAATAATGAAAAAGCTGCTCTCAGGTAATGTGTTTCGTTCCCATTCTTGAAAGAGAACACTTGGGGGATGAGTTTCCACAGGTTAATAAGGTAATATTTCCAAAAATATTAAAATGGAGCAAAATCATAGCTTTCAGCTTTTTACAACTTTTTGCTAAATATGCCCAGAATTCTGTGCTGTTTCCTCTCCAGAAAGGAAGGGGAAATGGTGGGCGGCCTGGTGGTGGCAGTGCTGGCAGCCACTTGACCTCAATTAGGGGTGGATTTCATCAGGAGGCTGGAAGTGGTGAGGGGCCTCGGTTCAGAGATCTTCCAGAGTGACAAGCACTGGGAGCTGGTTTCAGGTTTGGTGACAACTATTTTTTTTTAATAAAACATCTTTAGGCAGCTCTCCCGGCCGCCTGTGACTGTGCAGTGCCTCGCCTTTTCTTTCTCCTTTTCCTAATCAACCTGTCCTTTAAAATATAAATAAATACAGAAATGAAAGTCTTTAAAAAATATGTTTCCCCAGGTGCGTACCCCAGGTGTCCCAAAGCTGCCCATTTGCAATGGTTACCCCAAGCAAGCACTTTGTAAAAGCCCTTTTCCTTCCTTCATTCATTTAACAGCAATTTCCCCATTTATTGATTCTCCTGGCCCAGGTCTCTGCCGATTGCTCGAGGAGCCACAGGGAGGACTCCATTGCTCTGCTGCGGCACTTTGACTAGCCTGGGGAGATGCCTGTGGAGCGGGAGCTCCAAATCCAGCCTTGTATCAACTGGAGCGACGTGTCGATGGACTCGTGGATATTTTTTCTGGGGAATAAGTTCAACATTTTCATCACATTCTCTAATAGGTGACCCCCAAAAGGTTAGGAAATACCGGTTTTGCTAGTGTCGCTTCTCTTTCATTATGTCACCCCCAACCCCCTCACGTCCCCAGCTTGAGTGGGCAAAGGGTTAGGCAGGATCCTTGCGAAGGAGTCTTCTTCATCACTTTATTCAACAAAGGCAGTGGAGAGGCCTGGCGGTAATGACAGCTGCCCGCCACGGTAACTGGGAGAACAAAACGGGCTCAAATCAAGCAAAGCCTGACACACATCCAGCTCCCAACACACTGGTGGTGGCTGCAGCTGATCATAAACATACAGGTTTAACTGTGTAGAATCAGCAGCACCAGGCAGCCCAGAGACCGATCTCCTGAAAGAGATCAAGGAGGAAGAGAAAACCAGTCCTGCTGCCTTAGCTTTATTTAACACCCACACAACAAGCACCCACACAACAAGCATCCGTAGGGGTCAATAGCAGCTGGGGGCGGGGGGCGGGTATGTTAAGGAGCACAGCATTTGTAGTTAGGTGGGCCTAGTTGGAGACTAGGCCCTCATCTTCTGCTCCTACTCACCCACAGGGTGTCCTCTACCTGAGATGCACGGACATCTCAGGCTTGTCATTTGGAGAGTGAAGGGCACTCAACCCCTGTCTCCTGGGGCTGTGCTGACTGGAAAATGGCCCCAACCTCCCAAAGATATGCCCCCTGGGGTTTGGAAGAAGAAAGGATTTTAATACAGAGCCAACTCAGTGGAACACAGGCGCCCCAAGACTCAGAACTGCCTCCCCAGATGATCAGGGAAACAGGCTTATATCTCACTTTGGGAAGTGAAGCTTGCAAAGGAATGTCGGGTTGGCGGGAGGTCACTGGGTGAAAAAGACAGGGGGACAGAGGAAGGCAAGCAGCTGAACGTGAGTGGTGGTGGGGGAATTCCTCTGGGGAGATGGACTGGTGGCCAGAACCTCAAGGGCCAGGGTTGGGTCCAGCTTGCAGGTCTTTCATCACCTGGAAAAACCCAAGCTCTTGGGGCAAGCACATTAAACCCCATCCTGTAACAAAAGGTGAGGTGTCATCGTTATCTAAAGTAGCCGACCAGGGGCCTCCCCTGGTGGCGCAGCGGTTGAGCGCTGGGCTGCGAAGCTGCCCGCAGCCTCTGCAGCACCCCGGGCGAGAGTCCCACATGGCACGCAGACCTCTCCTGCGGCTTCTGCTGCTCCCCTCAGCAGTGTATTTCGGTCCTTCTGCCTGCTCTGCTCCCCGCTCTGGCTCTGGTGGATTCTCTCACCCTCCCGCGCTTCTGACTGTACCCAGTGCTTGTATAAATAAATAAATAAATCTTTAAAAATAATAATAATAATAATAAAGTAGCCGACCTGGCTAGAAAAACAGAAAGCAGTTCGACATGGTTGATAGCTAAGTGATGGAAAGAAAACGCAGGGCTTGTTTCGGGGAGTGTTTGGTTTTGGGGTGCTAGTTTCACTGAGTTGGCCCTCAATAAAGATGTGTTGTCATTGTAAACAGGTACACGTTACTTTAGAAAGATTTTATTGATATGCATCATTAAAGGCAGAGATAAAAACCGGCCCTTTCCCTCCAGGGATGTCCCAGATCCACAGGCAGTTTGGGGGGGCCTGGGAGGGCGGGGCCCCAGAGCGGGGGGCGCTCCCGAGTCACCCCGCGCCCCCGCCGGGTCCGGGCCGTGGGCGAGCAGGACGCCGCGCCCGCCGCAAAGAGGAAGGGCGGGCAGGGCGGGGCTGCGCGCTGCACCCCACTTAGCGCCCAAGGTCCCCGCGAGGCCGCATCAACCCACGCCCTACGCCCCGCGGGGCGCTCCCTAGCAACCGTGGCTTGACAACGGCCTCGCCTCTCTGCGTCGCGACGGCTGCGTCACTGCGGCGCGCCGGAAGTTACCGCCGCGGTCGCCGGGGACCCGGAAGTGGCCATTGAGGGGTTTGTTGTGGGGGCCTGACTCCTGCCTGGCGATGGGTTGCGACGGAGGAACAATCCCCAAGAGGCACGAGCTGGTGAAGGGGCCGAAGAAGGTTGAGAAGGTCAGCGACGTGGGCCCGCTGGGGATGGGGGGGGTCAGGCGGACACCCCGGGAGGGAGAGAGTCGGGGAGGGAGGGGGGCCCCCGGGGCTCCGGGCGCAGCTGCGTTTATCTGCCCTTTTGGGAGCTCTCGGCGCGCACGACGGTGTTAATTAGGGGCGGTAGCGGGGCCCGGCTCCTGCCACCCCCGGGCACGGGCCTGACGCGGGCCTCTCTGGAGACGCGCGGCGACCCCCGGTGCAGTCTGTCTGCGCCCCCACTTTGCAGACCTGGAGATGGAAGCTCGGCGGGAGAAGGTTGCGGAGCTGGTGGTGGCAGAGCCGGGAACTGACGCCCGTTCGCCCTTAGGAACCCACACGAGCGCTGTCGTTCAGTAAACAGTGCATAGGCCGACGTCGTTTGCTCTGGGAAGTCTCCCCATACCCTTCCCAGCCCCTGAGCGCGGGGCCTTCTCTGAGAGGCGATCTCGTGTTCTGAGGACGTGGCTGAGTAACGTCGTCCCCCGCGGTGGGTAAACTGCCGGCAGAGACACCCCCACCCCACCCCCACACCCCCGTCCTCACAACCAGCATGTTTCCTGGCCCAGTGGGTGTAGTGCACAGAGGACAGGATAGGTCATTCCTCCTTCTCACAAGTCATGGGGCAAATTAATATGTAAGGATTTGACGCTGCTGGGAAGATGGTGAACGTGATCAGCATCACACCGCTGGTAGGTTATGCGGCCTGGATTCCCATCCAGTTATCCAAGATCTCAAAGTTAACGCCAGAAACTACTTTTCAGTTTTCTACGGTATGTGAAGTACCGCATGCACTGCCAGGCCCTGGAGACTACGCCATATATTCCTGGTTCAGTACCCAGAGAAATCTTTTTAAAAGGTAAACCCCATATAGCCCTCCCGTGTTTCTGTACAGTAAGTAGACGCCTTCATATTCAGAAGACAGTCTCACAAGGCTCTGTGCCACCAGATCCCTTGCCTCTTAGACTTGCTGAGAGTGGCTTTTTAAATGGCCAAAAAGGTGGTAGATCAGGGTCAGGGTGACTCGACTGTCATGTGGGGCTCCACTACCGTGGGAATTTTGATTAAAGCTGTTGGAGCTGCCGGATTGGGGCTCTTGGCTCTGAGGAGTGAATAGAGGGACAGCGTAGTGGCATGATGGCTTGGTTCTTGAGCTTGTCCTGGTTTAAATGCTAGAGATGCCGCAAGAGCAGTGAGGTGCTGTAAGAGCCAGTGTCCTGGGTCCTTATCCAGGCTCCTTCATCCGCTTGCCATCTGACCCCCATCGCATAACCTAACCGTTTGGTACCACTCTTTCCCCAACTATACAGATTTAAAAATATTAATTGATAGGATTTTAGGAGGTTTAGAAGATAATACTTTTAAATACTTTTTTTTCTACTACTTTTAAATACTAAGTCATTAAAAGGCTAGGTCACAGAAACTGCTGAGCACAGTATACATGTAAGTGGTTGTTCTGCAGAAATTAAATTCAAGGAAATTCTTCTTGATTTTTTTTTTTTCTTTTCCTATTTTCGCCAAATTGTGCCATGTTTGTTACATTATTCAAGTTTGGCATTTTAGGAGGGAAAAGAGTGGGGTGTGAAATGGTATTTAAGTGGAAAGCCCATTTGTCAGTTGTGTCTGGAGTCTCGTTACATGGGTCAAGTTTGATGCCTCTAGTGAGCAGCTCAGAGCACCCCCTTATGTGAAATGGTGATTTTACAGAGTTCTGTTGTCTTTATGCTGAACTTAAAAAAAAAAAAAAAAGCCAACTTCTTTCAATTTACCCTGCTACAACTTTGGGGCCTTTTCCATAGGTAGAACCTGTGTTCTAGGTTGCTTGTGTTTTTCTGGATCGCCTCCCTCCCTCGCTGTTAAGACACCAGTATTAATATTCATATGAAGCTTGCATAAGCAATTCACTGCTTTGATGTAAACTGTTTCTTTGTACACATCACGGTTAGAGGGGCCTTGGTGTGACATAATATCAATCATTGATAACTTTGTGAATCCCAGTTTCATGTGTTACTGCCTTCAAGGAACAAAAGTCATCACAGTTTGGTATTATTGAATGAGTCTTTATATGTACTGCTGTGGACATAGGACTTTTAGAGGTAAAAATTGAAGGGATTTTTCTTTTCTTAGGTTGACAAAGATGCTGAATTAGTGGCCCAGTGGAACTACTGTACTCTCAGTCAAGAAATATTAAGGCGGCCTATAGTTGCCTGTGAACTGGGCAGGTAAGGTTTCTTTCCTTCTTCAAGATGAGTTTTTATTAGATGACTTTAAAAATCATTTTAAAAGTCAATTTTAATGTGTAAATGCAGTTCTTGGGGCCTCAAATGTGATTTTGCTCTAGCAGATTTGTGAAGCCCAGGTCATGGCTCCCTGTCTCTGAACTGCTTCTGCGCTTTACCTATTAGGTTTGGTTAATCCTTGTCTTGAAAACTCAGGGGTCAATAGGAGCTAAGTTATAAACACAAAGGCATGAAGGAGCCAGGTGGGGCACAGTAGGTAATTGGGGGTGCTGGGCACCAGATGACTGGATAGCTAGTATTTCCTTTAAAGGGATAGCTTGCTACAAAGTAGCAAGTTCAAGAGTGTAGCCCAGGTGTCTCCAGATCTTCTGATTTTCTTTTTCACAAGAAAAGTTGACATTGTGTACTTTTATATTAAGTTACCCAATTTTAAAAATCCAGGTCATGTTTAGTCCTCAGACTACCAGTTAGCAACCCTTGATTTACATTAGTTTCTGAAAATAGTTGAGACAGGACTAAATTTACTTTTCCATGATATAGGGCATTTCTGTTACCAGACGTTTGTGACTGTGGATCATACGCAATTTAGTTTCCTGTTTTGTCTGAAGGTTGCCTGTTGCCAGAGTGTTTGGACTAACCCTTATTTTTATCGCAGACTTTACAACAAAGACGCTGTGATTGAGTTTCTCCTGGACAAATCTCCTGAAAAGGCCCTTGGGAAGGCAACATCCCACATTAAAAGCATTAAGGTAAGACAGGTGATTCTGAAGTGTCCCAGGGTTCTCAGGAGTTCATAGAACTCATGTGCATGACAGACTAAGAGCAGCAGTCCAGTTAGCCACCTAAGAGAGGTGTGATCTGGGACGTGTCACTAAAGCAAGCAGAAGTTCCCATGCCTGCACCACGAATCTCTCACAATTCCGTGTGTGTAAAAGGGGTTGGAAAATGTGCTGTGTAGGTGTTGGGAGGCATTTTTTATTTGATTTTTGATTTGGAAGATACTTGCATTGAATTAGAGTTTTGTAGATAGGTCACTATGAAGTCAGTGTGGTTATCTCTACTGTTTAGAAGTTCTGATGGGCACTACATGCTCATTTGTAAAAGTAGAAGAACAAGTTTTTTAGTGTCGGAAGTTTGTTGAGAGGACGAAGTCTTTCAAATCTAGTCCATGGAAAAAATCAGGAGTGAAGGATTTGAGAACCATCCAGCTTGTCACCCTCGTTCTCTGCCAAGGTGCCTGCCATGACGACCAGTGAGGCCATTTAGCTAGTCAGCAAGGGCCTCACCCCAGCACCCTTGACCCGGACTTTGGGTTTTTTCCTTTTCTCTTTCTTCTTGTATTTTTGATTATTGAGCTTTTTGTTTGAATTCTGGGGATGATTAGGATGCAGATTATGTTCATTTCAGGTAAGTTAGTGAATCTGACATGTAGCTAATGGCCATGCTGTAGAAATACCCAGGCTGATTCTTGTCATTTTTCCTCTTGGGAGAGGAGGGGTGAGAAGTCATTCCTAAGAAACCCACGGTGATATGATTATCTGAACCTCCAAAACGTAATTGTCCTGGAAATTAATTCCTGCAGCTCTCTACTTAAAACATAATATACAATGTATGTGGTGAAACTTCATTTTAATGGCAAAAAATCCACAAAACTTCCAAGAAATTGGAACTGTAAAGTCAGAAGGATTCAAATAAAACAATGCAAAGGTACAGGAATATCATGATAGCAATTAACAGTCCACAGATACTCTGAGCAGAAAACCGGAGCCCCATGCAGGGGGGCTTTCCCGTCCAATTGCGGGGCTGCTGTCCAGGGTGTTGAAGTCAGATTAGCAGCGTTAAATACAAGGAAATGCCTCCAACTCCAAAGGAGGGCTGTTGAGTCAAACTTGCAAAGCTGAATTTTTGAAAACCTGAGTGGCTGAGTGGCCATTTTCTTTGGCTAATGTCCTGCCAAGGACTCCTGAGAACATGACCTCACAGAGTTGTCCATCTCAGAGATGTAGGACAAGCTCAGGGAAGAGTACCCAGCAGGGGACGGGCATGCTCCTTTCTGGAGGAATCTGAGACAGAATTCCTTTTTAGTGGAGTCATTTGTCATATTGGAAGCTACTTTTCCTTAAATCACAAAATATTTATAAAATGGAAAATAGCTAATTCATTTGCTGGTCAGTAAATTTTTTAAATTTTGTCTTCTGTCACAATTCCTGGTCTGATTTTATATCCATGTTGATGCTAATTTTATATATCCATGTCAAGAATGGCCAAAGGAAGGTAGGAGGAAGAAGAGAGTTGGATGGAAAAGGCACTAGAATAACAATTTCTCTGGTGATTCGGGTTATTAAAAGGGAAGATGATCCATTTATCAAACGAACTTCTCAGAATATTGACGCTTTTTCACAGAACGTGACAGAACTGAGGCTTTCCGATAATCCCGCCTGGGAAGGGGATAAAGGAAACACAAAAGGGGACAAGCACGATGACCTCCAGCGGGCCCGGTTCATCTGTCCCGTGGTGGGCTTGGAGATGAACGGGCGACACAGGTCAGTCCCAGCCTCAGGCCTGTGCTGCAGAGTCCAGCCCAGCCCATAGGCGCTGTGCGGGGGTCTGTTAGTAGCACGGACTTGTTAATGTCATGCCCCTCGTGACGCAGTCACTCTTCATTCCCTGTCCCAGCCCCCGGAGCCCCCCGGTCCACTTTCTGTCTCTGTGCGTTACCTGTTCCGGGTGTTTCATATAAATAGAATCACACCCTGTGTGACCTTCGTGTCTGGGTTCCCACTTCTTTGTAAGAAAACCATGGTTCCCCTGCCCCCTCCCAAAAGAAGAACTTTGCAGAAACAAGGTGAACTCCGGGGTCTTGAGTCAGGGCGGCCTGGGCCCTACTGCTCCCTTGTGGCTTCCCCTGGTTTTCCTTTTCATGTGCTGGTTAAATCTCTTCCCCTTTTGCTCTTCCCAGTGGCTTGAGCTTTGCCTGGCTTTTGACCTCGCCCTCCTGCTATTCATAGGACCTCCACACTAGAAAATGGATTTGGCATGTGATACATGTGTGACGTCATATGATAAAGACTCAAACATACAAAAGAATTACTAGGCTAACAAAAACGCTAAGCCTTTGTTGAAAGACAAAAAAGTTCCCTAAATTACTACTAATTAGTAAGCATCCTTAAAGCAGAACCTGGGTAGGGGAACGTCTTCCACCATTCTTAAAGAACTTAGTACAGAGCCTTCCCTCTGCCCACCTGTGCCTATGCAGGTGCCTCTTTTCGCTGCATGGCGCTGAACACCCACCACCTGCAGCTGCCACCAGCCAGCGCCGTTCCCCCAGGCCTCCCAGCAGGCACCCCCCACTCCCTTTCATGACGGCCCCACACGTGGGACGCTGTAGGTCGGCGTGCATGTAACAGTGGAGGGTCCGCGTCTTACATAGGTTTGGCCATTTGTTTTGTGAGCTGCGTGTGAATGTCCTTTGCCCACTTTTCTATCATGTTCTGGTTGCTTTTTATGAACTCTTTGACTATTCATGGACTCTAAGTCACATATATTTTAAGTGTCTTCCTCCTTGAATTCCTAATCTGACTTCCAACTTTTTGTGTGTGGTTCTTTTAAATGTATGTATTTTTATAAGAGAGATTATTCCAGAGAATTACTGAAAGGGAAGGGGATGATGTCTTTGTGGCTTACCTGTCTGCGTATCTGTTTCTTTGTTGTGGACATACATTTTTCTCTCTGTGGCTCTTCACCTTGGAGTCAGCTGAAACAATGTTAAAGGATAATATGGTCAATGAGTGTTACATGCTTCAGCCTATCTCCAATCTGGGTTATTTCCCCAGGTTTTGCTTCCTGCGATGCTGCGGCTGCGTGTTTTCTGAACGAGCCTTAAAGGAGATCAAAGCGGAAGTCTGTCACACGGTGAGTTGCTGACACACATCATCTGTCCCCTCTTGGCGCCTGAGGAAATCCGATGTCTCGGGGACCCTCCCTCCCTTGTTGCATCTCACATCCCTGTGTGTCTCCTGAGTGCGGCCTAGTTAGCTGCTGCTCTGCTAGAGACCCTCCCTGGCTCCTCCTTGCTGTGCTTCCCAGGACAAGCTGCTTCTCTCGTGCGCCTTTGTTCCTTGAACCTGACCTGCCAGCCTGCCAGCCTCGCTTCCCCATGAGCCTTGGTTCCAGGGCCGTTGCTGCTTCTGCAACCCCGGCTTCACAGCTCCCGCCCTGTCCCCCTGGGCACCTTGTTATTCCCACTCCACACCCCAGAACGATTGGTCTGTGTATTGGTTTCCCCACTGGACCACGAGCTTTTTATTTCTATTCTTTCCATAAGACTTAATTTTTTGAGAGCAGTTTTAGTTTCACAGCAAAAATGAAAGAAAGTACAGAGATTTTCCATTTTCTGTCTGCCCCCACCTCCCCACACATGGCCTTCACCAGGGTCAGCGCCTCCCCGTGATACGTTCGTTAAAGTTGACAAACCTGTGTCAACACATCATTGTCATCCAAAGGCCAGAGTTTACGTTTTGTTCACTCTTGGTGCTGCATGTTCTGTGGATTTGGATACATAGTGATCGTCACAGTATCCCACAGAATATTTTCACTGCCCTAAAAACCATCTGTGCTCTGAGTCTGCAGCGCCGTCACGTGCCATCAGCACATGCTCACATGCGTGAGTGAATAACACGCTGTCAGAGCTACCTGCTCGGTTCACGCAAGGGAAGCACTGAAGGTTCTGTCGCCCCAACGTGTGTGCGGCCTTCCGCTGGCCCTTGTGTGGCCTGGAATTTACTTTAGAGTCGCAGGTGCCAGCAGCTTGTGGCTGTTCTCAGCGGTGTTAACTCTTCTGGGGTCTCGTCAGGCTTCCCGTGCTTTTCTTCCTGTGGCAAATGACTCTCAGGCCACCCTGAACCACTGTTAGGGGCTGGCCCCTGTGCCTGGCTATGCTGGGTGGGAGAGCGTGGTGGGGAGGTGCCCATCAGCGTTGGTGGCAGAAATGAGGAGCAGGTCCCTGCAGGAGCCCCGATGCCTTTGCAGCAACAAGTGCTCTGCGCGCATGAATGTGCAGACCTGGGTGGGGCAGACTGAGAGGAGGGGCTGACAGAGCCTCGCTTTTCGTGGCAGGCGTGGAAAAGGAGCCCATGTGAGCAGCCTCCAGTGGTGATGGTGTGGGTCCCAGCGCAGCACGGAGGCGGCGTTTAGGTGTTAGGCACAAAAGCAGGCACGCCACCAAGCCTGCTGGGAAATAGAAATGTGCGATAAATACAAAAGCTGAACAAAACCTGTAACAACAGAAACCACATGACCCCAGTCACTGGTTCCCAAGCCAGGCTGCATGCTTGAGCCTCCACAGTGATTTGTTAGGGTTCCGTGCTCTGTCTCAGACCCACTAAACGGAAGCTTGGGGTAGGTTTCAAGTTTCACAGTAGCCACTCTCATTGAGTGCTCCCAGAACAGTTCTGATGGGCAGCCAGGCTTGGGGGCTGCCCTGAAGAATCTCAGCATCTCAGGGAGGGTACGCCGTGGTCCTGGTCCTCGCTGATCTCCTGGCCACCACCTGACACACGTGCAGCGGGCAGAGGGCCCTGCTCAGAGCCCCCCCGGGGCAGCCAGTTGGATTTTGTGGAAATGCAGCCTTGCAAGGGTACTTAGGAAATTCACTGGTGCTGGTAAACTCTTGAAAGTTTGTACCTCGAGCATTTTCCAGAGAAGAGAAGGGAGCACAAAGAGGGGCATTAAGGGATGGGGGCCTGGCACCCCCATCTCCTGGGGGCTCGGTGACTCCTGGGGTAAGATAGGAACCTGCTGTACTTCAGGAGGAGCTCGGGGAGCGTGTTTTCTTCAAAATAAATCCAGTGCTGGAAGAGACCGAGCACTTGTCACTGATTCCTCTCCATGAAGGCCTCTGCCTGGACTGCTAGAGCCCTCGGTTGACTTGAGCTGCCCTTTCAGTCACCACAGCTGGGGGACTTAATGGAAATGTGTTACCTCACAGCTCAGAGCCCAGATGCCCAAAACCTAGGGCTTGGGAGTTGGCAGAGTTGTCCATCTTCCAGGCCTGTGGGGGAGGCCCTGGTCCAGCCCTCCCTCCCTGGCTGTAATGTCCCTTCTCCCCATGTCTCTTCGAGTTGTCTTTTGTGAGATCCGTCTGGGTTCCGATTTCCTCCCGCTGTGAGGACACTGGTCATGTTGGGTGTGACCCCCCCCCCCCAGGTGGCGTCTGAATGAACTCATCTGCAGTGACCTGATTCCAGAGCAGGTCCCGTTCTGCTGCTGGGTTAGGGCTTCAGCGAGGGAGTTAGGGGGTGGTAGGCGCAAGGACACCATTCAGCCAGCAGCACTGCACAGTTTGGGGAATCATATTGCAGGGACGGTCGCGCCGCTCGGGTGTGGGAGGCAGCCACACGCACGCGCCGGTGCTGAGGGCCTGGGGGACGTCGGCTTTGCCTCATGCACCAGTGTCAGCTTGGGAATCTCACTTCCCCTCTCTGGGTGTCAGGTTCTAATATGTAAAATGAGGGAATTATAGTAAATGCTTAGACTCCTTTTAAACCCAGGTTTACAAACGAAGACATTTTAAAAGTAAATAAATAACAAACCTGCGTGCTGTTACCAGTGTCTTCTAATGTGGAGTTTCTAAACTGTGGTGACACTTAGTCGACGCAGCAAGGCTGGCCAGTGGCTTTAACAAGCAGCTCCGGAATTCCGGGGCCTGACACTGTGGACAGCCCCGCCTGGCAGTTCCCCAGGGAACTCCTGGACTCGGGCCAGACTGGGGCTCCAGCCACCTGGGGCTCGACCCTCTGGTCCTGGGGTATGGCCCTATCACCCATTGGGTCGGCTGCTGGGGAGACAGCGGGAGCGTCTAGCTGGGGAGGCTTTGACAGGCCTGGACCTGGTGCTCATCCCCTGTGTCCCGTCCCGTTGACCAGAACTCTGCATGGCCACACCTGACGGGAGGGAGCCCGGGGAACGTAGCGCAGCTGCCTGCCCCGGAAGGCGACAAGCTCAGGCCTTCTGCCATCATAAAGAGTGATAGCGCAGTTTCAGGAGCCAGGGGCTTTGTGAACACTCAAATGAAGGGAGATAAGCCACAGTGTCAACATCTAAAGCAAATATTGTCATTTTTCAGGTACTGGCTTACATTTAGAGAAGTTTGCTGCTGAGAAAGTAGTGTCAGGGCGGTATTCGGGGCACGCGTGCCCCCTGCTCTCACCCTTAGCCCCGCCTGCACTTGCCTTTCATCTCAGAGAGGAGAGTCAAGGACTGGAGTCCTGGTTCTGCGTTCAGAAGCTCAGGTGTGCACACTTGAGCTCTGTAAACAGGGTCCAGAGAGATGCAGTTGCTAGGCTTGTGTTTGTTTGCAGCCTAAACAAATCACCAACCCAAAATCCATGGTATTCCCCGTTGTGTTCTTCCCTTGTAATCAGAAGAAACACCTTGGAGTAATTACAGGTGGCAGACTGAAGGGCATGCTTGGTACCCAGAGCCCGGGCCGCAGTCCTGCGGCATCGGCATTGCCTGGCAGGTTTCAGTGTTGATTTTTTTTAAATGCAGGCTCTCGGGCCCCTCCCCAACCTGTGGGGTCGAATCTGCAAGCTACAGGGCCCCCAGGGGCTTTCATGCGCACTCGTGTTTGAGCAGCACTGGCGCAGCGTTAGAGGTTCGGATCTAGATGTCAGCATCTGACTTGCCAGCCTTCTGCCCGAGTGGTGCGTGAGCTGGGCAGGGGTGTTCAAGTCAAACGTAACGGACGATGCCTGCTCAGAGCTGCAGGGGCCGGGCGCGAGGGGCGGGCAGAGTTGGGCAGAGGTCTCCTCAGAAGCAGTCTTTGAATTCTGCTTTTCCGGCTCTGAGGTCTCCCGCCCACTTTACGGTCTTTGGGAATCGCAAACCAGGGGAGCCCGCCTTAAACTGTGACAGGTGAAGTTAAGATTCACTTAGTCGTGCTGGATTTACTTCAAGTTCCCCCACACCCCCTGAAGTGCTGGTTGGCGTTGCACCGCATGGGATGTCAGCCACACTGCAGCACCACCGAAACCTGTAGCAACCCTTGAAGAAGTTGTTTCAATTCAGAGTCACTTCATTTTATCCGAAGAGAATGACCTCTCCTGTGTCTTTCTGGATGGCCAGAACAACCTTACATAGTTCCCAGCCAAAGGGGGCTGTTTCTGATGAGCGGGTGTTCGTTTGCTCCTGGAGTGTGTTCTTTGTTAGAGTCTCAGACACAATAGTATCCCCAAAACTGGAGGTGCCCTTCCTCTAGCTTGAACCTGGATCGAAGCTCTTGGAGAGTTTTGATTTCCACCAGGTGTTCCCTGAGGCAGTTGGCCTGAAGGGCCTCCTGTGTTGCCAGCAGTCGCTCGAGCGCTTTCCCCCACGAGTCCTTTCTCAGAGCCGCCGCTGTGGCCAGTGATCACGCCCTGTCACTCGCCTGTTTCTGAATTTGTTTCGGACTGACCCGCTTCTCTGGCCGAGTGGGCCCTGGTCTCCAGTTGAGCAGTGCTAGCCAGGAGGAAGCAAGCCCCGCGTCCCTCGCTCAGCGGCTTAGCTTCATGTCAAAGTGCCCCTCCTGGTCGAAGCGCCAGTGCGGCTCCACAGGCACCTCCGCGGCCCGCAGCACCCGCAGCCGGTGCCGCCGCTCCAAGCAGGTGACCACCAGCGGGTCGGTGGAGGCCTCGAATTGGTTGGCAAACAACGAAGGGGAGCGAATGATCCACGGCAGGTCTCCTGGGCCGTACACACAGCTGTCCTGGACGTAGTGACCTGCAAGACCAAACACAGAACTTAGCCGCCTGCGTCCTGGCCGGTGACCTCCACCCAGAGGAGCAAAGCTGCGCCTTCGGGTGTCACCTGTGGGCCTCTGCTGCCCGGGGCTCAGATTCCACGTGACCTGTGTGGCTACCGTGACCTGTGTGGCTACCGTGACCTGTGTGGCTACCGGGCCAGGGCTTCTTTGTATGCAAAATTTGGAATTTAAGATAGAAAAGGAAGTTCCCGTTCTCAAGGGCCGTGATCTCAGAGGTTCAAGTCTACCTCAGGTGAAGTTGTGGGAGTGGAGTGCCGAGTGGAGACGAGCCTCCTCTGCCTGCTCACACCCAAGTTCTGAGCTGTTGTTTTAGTTCCTGAGCTTTGAGGGCCGACCTTGAATCTGAATAGGTCCCAAGAATTGTGTTGATTTTAGTCAGTCACTGCCCCTGTCCTTTATCAGGTTTGCAGTGAGTGTTTGCTGTGCACAGAAGTAACTGATCTGGGAGGGCCTGTGAGGATCCGGTGCTGATGGGTCCTACTAGAACAACTCAGTAACGCACTTCACGGGCCTGACTCTGTGGGTTTTCCTGCTCCCTTGTAGTCTCTCTACCACCCAACAGATGGTTTCTCTTGTCACCGTCTATGCACAGCAGTGGGCGCTCAGCTTGTGGGGGAGCGGAGGCACTGACCTCTTTGGAGGACCTCGCTCTCCCCTCGCCCCTGCTCTCTCTACGCCCCAGCCCGGTAGTCCTCCTCAAGCCTTACCTTGAGGAAATAGTGTTATTAATCAAGGGGAGGGTGGGACCCATCCTCAAGAGTCCAGTGTTTCTAAGACTAAACCGATCAGAAGGAGCCTCTCTCTGTGGAGCAGACAGGACAGGGCAGGACCCCCAGGTGGCACGCGTGCAAATGGCCACTGTTGTCACAGCTGACATTTTTTTAACTGTCACATTCCCTGTGCAGTGTGACAGCAGAATTGTCTCAACCAGATTAGGTGGTAAATACGAAGACAGCTCTGGCGAGAGAACCAGCTGTGCCTGGACTGGGGCTGGACAGGTCTGTCGTTGCCTGCGTGTGGGCTGGACTAGAGGGAACAGAGTTTCAGACTTGGGTTGATGTGGTCTTGGTGATTAGAGATAGGCCACCTCGCTGTTGCCGATAAAGACGGGTGGCTGTCGCCCTGCGTGCAGCGCTGGGCCGCAAGCCCACCCTGCAGAGTGGAAGCTCTGCCACTCCCTGTGCCACTTCCTGTGACTTGAGTGAGCTCACTTCTCTGAGCCTGGAGTTCCTCTGGGGTCTGAGGTGTGAATAGTAATAATCTCTTCCTGAGAAGCATCAAGAGGACTGACTGCAGGCCAGAGCTGGGGCTCCCCAAGGGGTCCCAGCAGCCCCTGATGCAGTGCTCAGCCCGAGCTGAGTGCCCGCTGTTTGTGGACCCAGGTGTGGCCCTGGCCTGCCTCCTAGTTGGGCAGCTTGTACACCGAACCAGCAATGGCAAGAACTTTCTGGAGTGTTTGCTTGGAGGGAATGGTATTTTGAAGATTACAATGACCAGGTTTTTCCACCCTGTGGGAATGTCTGTTCCCACGCTCAAAACCCTGCATCTTCTCTTTACTGTCGAGAGGCCCATAAAGGCCAGGCAAGGCCCATTTTCCTTCCCATGGGTGCTTCTAGAACATTTGCGGCCTTGCTGGACTCATTTCTTCATCCATTTAGTCTCCCCTCAACCATAAGCTCCTCTCAAGCAGCCGGGATTTCAGGGCAATGAAGTCAGACTTAGGCTTGCTGCCCCCCCCCGCCCCCCGCCGTGGCCCTGTTGGCCACCTGGGCCAGAGGGCAGCGGTTGCCCATAATTGAGTGGGCTAAATTAATCTGTGGCTGCAAGACTGGGTGAAAAGCTGTTCAAAACACACAGACCATTCCTAGTGTGTTGCAGCAACTAAACCTGTAATAACTTTTCTTCAGTTCTTTGAAGGGGCCCGGCCCACAGGCAGAGCAGACGGGAGCCCCATCGCACCAGAGCAGCACAGCAGATTCTGAAGGGCCAGAGAGTAACAGTTTTTGGCTTTGTGGTCAGTTCTGCCCTTCTTTGTCATAACCAGTAAGTCAGCGGGCATGTTTGTGCCCAGTGCAGCTTTATTCTTAGAAACAGGCTCCCCGCAGGCGGTAGCAGCTGCCGACTGTGTGTGTGCACCTGCGCGCTCACGTCTCTGTTCTGAGAGACCCAGGGAGGTGGCTCGTTTTAAATAAATATTTGAATTTGAATTTGAACACTTGGAGCAGGTGGGAAAAGCCCGGCAGTGCGTGGATTTTTATGTGAAAACTAGAGGCTTCAGCCCTGCCGTGTGTTCCCTGGTGAAGGTCTACCCGCTGCTGCTTGCAGTCTGTGCGTGCGTCTGTGTGGCTCTCACACCGGCATGTAAAAGGTGATCCCCATACTCATCTCCGACCCCAGAGAACGGTCCCCGAGATCTCCCGTCTTCCCCACCGCTGTCAGGCAGCCGTTGTGTGGCTTTGTGCCGCCCAAGACTTGGCGTCTGTTTTTACCTTTGCATCCACTGTGGCCCCTGCCCTCCTCGTTTCTCCACTTAACGGCTCGCACATCGCCTTCCCAGCTGGCGTGGGGTGTGGCTCCCGGAGCGTCTAGGGAGGAAGCAAGAGCACCCCTTGTGAGCCCAGCTTCTGCCCAGTTCTTACAGGACAAGCTCTGCGCTGCCCTCTCTGTCTGCTGCCCCGTCACAAGCAAGCTGGACGGCGCGGCCTCCCCATTCCACTTTCAGTCTGTCCTCCTCTGACCGGAGACGAGACTGTGCTGGTGGAGGTGGGGCCGGCCCGGCACTCGCATCTCCAGCTTTGTGCTGAGACTTCACCTCTCACCCCTGTCTTACACAGTGCTTCAGTGATCAGATCAGATCTGACTGTAACTGTTGGGATTGTTTGCAACAGAAACACAAATCTGAGGTGATTTGAAAATAGGATTTCTAGGGGATGTGACGGATTATAAAGAGCTCCTAACTGATTTCTGCTGGATTGTCTGTACTGTGTCTGGGCTGATCAGCTTAGCTGTTCACACGTGAAGCCTCCTTCCTGCTGGGAGCCATCAGCCTTATACAGAGAGACGTCTGCTTACAGGCCGCCCCAGGTCTCCCTCTGCCACCTGAAGCATCATGGCCACCTCAAGACATTTACTCGAGGCCCTCACGCAGTACCCGGCCCTGTCTGCCACCAGTACTGTCTACTGAGTAAGAACTTCCCGAAGATCTGTGCCTAGAATTTTCAAAAGGCTCAGTCTGGGGAGACGCAAGTGCTGTGTCCCTTTCTGGAGAGAGCACGGAAGCAGCAGCTGGGCTCGAGGGCGGGCGTGCTCTCTGCCAACACCAGACCCCTGAGTCAAAGACTTCCCTCTGTATGCCCCAAAAGGAAGGTCTTGCAAAACTGCCCACACCGTGTCAGTGATAGGGAGACTCCGGTTCAGAATCAGCAACTGTTGTTGCCTCTGATCTGAGCGGACGCCTGGATTCCCGCCTCGTCTTACCTTTTAGTCGGTTCAGTGTCACCCAGTAGTGGTGCTCTGGGCTGCGGAGGCCTGCAGACCACTGAAGCATGTCTTTTGCGCGGGTGTCAGTCAGTACGAACTCCACAAATTTCCTCGTTAGTACATAGTAAGCGCTCCCAAAATAAATGGTCAAGTTATGGGGCGGCTCTTTGAGTATTTGATTTGGCAGAATATGGATGCTGGCTTCGGGGGGCGGTTCGGGGGCGCCGTGACTGGTCGTGGACTTGTTGTTGGGTGGCTGGATGATCCCAGGGGTGATGTTTTTATCATTCCATTTGCTTCTGATGTAGTGTATGATTTCTTTGTTGGTTTTGATGGGGAAGTCCTGTCCGCAGAGGTTAATGACGTAGCCCCATGGGCGTGCGGCATGGACCAGCTCTCTCATGCAGCTGAGGTCTGCCTGGAGGCGTGTCGAGCCGCTGGAAGCCACCTTCCCACTCTGGGGCGAAATGAAAATATTCTCGAAGCAGTTGACCAGGGTTTGCACCGCGGTCTTATGCTTCTTTGGGGCCTTCTCGTCGACGTGAATGCAGTAAACGTTTTGAGGCGCATAAATGGCTCTGAGAAGCTGCACGAACACGGCCAGCTCCTTGTGGAAGGTGATGATGTAGGCCAGGGAGAAGTTGCCCTCCTCTGCAGACAGGGGCCTGGTGATGAAGCGCAGCCCCTGGGAGATCCTGGAGCAGTTTCCCGGCGTGTGCAAATGAGCGCGTATTTCAGACCCCTGGGGGTTTTTACAAAATTTTGCAACCTGGGGGGCTGCCTCTTTCCCTTCAAACAGAGCTGAACACAGCTCATCTGGATAATAGCCACATTCCACCACCCGTGGGTAAGTGGGTGCCTCCTTGGGCTCCTCGGGACTCGGGCTCCTCAGACAGAGGAAAACGACGACGCCCACGGCCGTGCACACTAGGAGCCCCGGCCTCACGGTGCACAGCGGGCTCATGCTCCAGGCCCCCCGCGCCTCCTCGCCAGCCTCCTCGCTACAGCGCTTGGAGATGCTTCCCCTGACGTGTCCTGAAAGAACAACAGACAGAATTTAGGGTGCTGCACCTCCCGCGCCCCCCAGCAGTCAGGGTGCAGACACATACCACATCGGTGGTAGGTGCTTCTGTACCTGGGAGACCTGCTCCCTAAACTCATCCCGTGCCCCTTTTCACCACTCCTCACCCCCATCTCCACCCCGCCCCTTCTGGCAGTCACCCACTTGTTCTGGATCAGTCGGCAGCACTGACGGTCTCATGGGGAATCGGGCTGCATGCGCCCCCTTCGCCTGAGGGCCGGGAGCCCCGCGCACCCCAGCTATTGCACTGCTGCTAGGTGGTCTTCGCAGCCGAGCGGTGGCTCAGGTGGACGTGCCACCACTGTCCATCGGCTCATCTGGCCGCGGAGATGGCCATGGTTTCCGGTGTCGGGATGTTACTGGAAACAGGTGCTTCCACAAGCACCTGTGCTCAGGTGTCTGGGAGCTGTGAGTGTGACTGGGCCTGCGTGGCGTCGTTTCACTTCTCAGGCAGCTGCAGGCTCTTCTCCAGAGCGCCTGTGCCGTCTCCGTCCCTGGCCCTGGGCCTCGCCACGGCTGGGGCGGGCAGGTTCTGAGATCTGAACCCCCAGCAGGAGTGGCAGTGAGTCCCCGGCTTCACTTGGCGTTTGCCTGGTGACTGAGGGTGCCGGGCCTGTTGTCATGTTTTATCGCCCTTATCTTGACAGCCAGGGAGAAACTGCAAATATTTGTTTTGGACATAGATACTGCCCTGCTCTGCATGATTCCGAGTTCATTTAATGCCATTATTTTGCCACGTGTTGTAAGAATGAAACTTTCCAATAAAGAGAGCAGCAAGTTAAGTATGTGAGACTTCCACTGGTTGGAATGAGCTTATGAATCGGTTTTTAAAACAATTTCCAAAGCCTGCTGGTTTCTGACCGTTGTTTACCCCGACTCGACACTGGCCCCGCCGCCCTCCACGTCAGAGTGCGCAAGTTCCCGGCCAGACAGCGCCTCGAGTTGTCCTTATGCTCTTCGACTTAGAGCCGGTAACAGCTGTGCTGCCAGCTTGTGGATGGAGGGAGTGGCGCGTGTGTTCTGCGGAGTTTCTTTCCGCCCACCGCGTCACAAAGGCGAGAAGCAGCCGTTGCGCAGGCTCCAGGCCCGCACTGGCCACTGGCCCCAGGACGTGGCTGATCGCCCGGGACAGAAGGCACCTCCGCGTTAGAGACAGCTGTCCAGACGAAGGGTGCTTTTCACACGCGCCGGGCCATTGCACAAATGCACTTCATACCCGACCTGACAAATCCACAAACCTGTCTCCTACAAACAGAAATTCAGGAAGAGGAAAATGCCTCCTTGAAATGAAAACGAAGCTTTTCACTACTTGTCTTTTAGGAATTTTGATGAAAGGTAAAGCGGCTCCACTTTGTACCCCATTTTGTTCCATTTTGTCCAGTATTGTAGCGTTAGTACAGGCAGGGGGTTGGGAGGGTTTTCTGTTTCTTGTCTTGGTTTTCGCTTTTAAGTTCATGGCCAAAGTAAAACACTCTGGTGCCACCACAGAAAGGTTAGCGGCACGTCACTGACAGTGTGGGCTGTCCCTGGCCCCACTCCTAGAAGTATCTCTCCTGGGCCTTCTATAATTTAAGAAATTTCTAGTTCCTCCATATCTGTGGCCTTGCTGTATCATGTCATTAAAATCTATAGTATACAGTAAAACTGGTAGCTTCCCCACAGAGAATAATGTTTAAGAGTTGGTTGACTGAAGACATACCATCTCCAAGAGATCCTGGAGACTCTCTTTGAGTAGAAATACTTAGCAAAGTTACGGTTACGATGAGGGGTGTTTTCCTTGTTTGCAGTGCTGGAAGCCACCCAATAACAAGTGAGTTCCCATTACAGTTCTCAGAATGGAATTGTTTTACACTCTATATTTTCATCCTTGCGTAAAATACGTCAAAGGAGTTGTTTTAAGGTGTTATTGTCATGGCTACTGTCCTACTTAGTGGAGCCGGTGAGTTTGTTTTTCATTATCCTTCTGTCCTCTCTCTGCGCACTGCAGGCCTTACAGCCAGGACCCAAGTCAGCACCCCCCACCCCCACCCCACCCCCCACACACACTCCGTAACACAGGGGAGCAGGTAGCCTCACCCCGGGGTGGCCACTTTGAATTTGTTAGCATAGGATTTAATGGGCATATATTTTAATATAGAGTTTTAATTTATACTAACATTAGCATATTAGAATATTATTGTTTTAGGGCATTAACATTAGTTTGACCAGATTAAACAATGTATTTAACCCAAAGAAACTTTTTCAGTTCTTTAAAAAAAAAAAAAACAGGGGCAGCATGATGGCATTTAACTTTTGGGGGCCCCCACTCTGCTGTGGCCTGAGGTAGTGGCTTTGCATCGGAGCCGCTATGTTGGAGTCATTTGGGGCAATAATGGAGCCTCCCTGAGTCTGTTTCTGGAGTGCAGGGGGTGGTGATAGTACTTGCCTCCCAGGGACAGTTTCCCCTGCGCCTGGCTGGGAGGTGCCCAGTGCTGAGGAGGGGTCGGGCCTTCGTGTTGGTGCCTGCCGGCTTCTGGTAGCGCAGCCCCCGGCCCAAGGCCCGGTGCGGCCCCCGTGGGCTGCTTGTCCTGGAAAATCCCGAGCAGTGAAAAGTTTGTTTCTCGTTTTTGTTGCCTCTGCGTGCAGAGTGACGTCCAGAGCACCCTAACAGTTGGCAGTGCTTTACTGTGTGTGCTTTAAAAATTAGGCTGTTTTTGAATTCAAAGACTGCCGACTGCCCACGGACACAGGCCTCCCCGAAGACGGCTTGACCCCAGAACGCGCGCACGTCCCTCCAGCCATGCCCACCCACGGCGGGGAGCCCCGCTCCGGGAGCCTCCCAACCCGCAGGAGAGAGGCCGCTTTTATCACTGGCACAAAACAAGAACTGAGGATTTGGACGCGGCCTTGAGGTTGACTCAAGTAAGAAAATGAGAACCATGCACCTGGGAGGGGAGAGCTTACACTGTACAAAAATGGAGAATGACGTAAACTGTAGATAAGATAAAATTTTTAAAAAAAGAAAATGAGAACCATTTGTGAGAGAAAACCATGCCTGCCGCCTGTGCGCGTGAAAACAATGACGGACCCGCCGTCGCTGCTGGCTGGGACCCGCGGGGAGTAGACGCGCCCGCCTGCAGCCCCGTACCTGGTCAGCGCCTCTGCCGTCAGCGGCTCCTCTCCCGTGACTCCCGGGACTCCCTCGCGCCAGGAACTAGGCCGCTTGGCAGGTTTTGCTGCCTTTTCACTCCACACCCCTGTGGGCTGGAGGCCAGCAGCGGCTGCCGGAGCTCCACGCGTGTCCGTGCAGGACAGAGAAGCTCGTGGGGAGTTTCTCGTGTTCTCGAGTGAAGCTTTGGCAGTCGTTGTCAGGTTTTTCAGATGGTTTTAAAAATAGGAGGCAAAACTTGACCCTTTTTCATTGAAGGGACAAGTCAGTCATTTTAAAATCCTGTTTGCTTCCCTGAAGAGCTCTCATAGCCCTCAGCCTGGCCGGCCCGCAGGACTGGTCTTGGGGAGGCAGGGACCAGGCTCCCGGGGTGCCCCTGGCTCCGCCCAGGGCGAGGCTGTGCGGGCACCGCGGAGGTGGAGCTCTGCGCCTTGGCTAATGACTCCCCCGGGGAACACTGCACCCCCGTCCTGCCCTTCTCTGGTCTGTAAGGTCTTGCGCTTGCTGGTGCTCCCCTGAGGTTTGCCACAGACAGGTCTGTGAAGAAATGTGAAGCCCACAGATCGCAGCCCCAGGCTGTGGAGACAGACTCCCCTACAGCGCACTGCCTGCTGGCCAGGCCAGCACAGCTTTCTCCACCTGCTCCTGGCGACTCGGGGGAAGTGCTGGTGCACCGGCCGCAGCCCATCGCCAGAGGCTGGCTTCGCCACCTTGCTTTGACTAGTCTGCTCTGTCAGAGCAGGGCTGCGGCCTTTCAGGAGCGAGACCTGGCGTGTTTTCTGTTTGCCTGGACATGTTCAGAGGCTGTAAGTCTCAGAGGGACTGAGCTCATGTAGCAGGCATCAGGAAAGGCAAGGCCCTGGGGCGTGACAGGCCACCTTGCCGGCCCCGACAGTCGTGTCCCTTGATCCCGGTGTTTAGAAATTGTCCCGTGGGTGCCAAGAACAGCACCGCCTGGTCCCTTCAGAAAGATGCGTCCCTTGGGCATGAGGACTGGTGCTGGATTCCCCAACGGGGTCGCTTTCGCCCGCGTGTGATTTCCCCCTTGCTGAGCTTGAGGGAGTAAGATCCTGGAGGAGCTGGGGACAGGGTTCACCCAGGGTCCCAATGTTGCTGGACCAGCTCCTCACATGATCAGAAACCCTGCAGAGGAGCAGCCCCCCGTGAGGTGCAGTGCTGCAGGAGGCCTTGATGCCCCAGCCAGATAAGATACTGACAAGCAGCTAAGAGAAAGGGCCTCACACCGTGGGGCTGAAGATCTGGCATCCCTTTGCTTTTTGTTCATGGACATAGAGAGAGAAAAATTTATCAGAAAGTATATTAGGCAATAAATTATATGTATCAGCATACTGTAAGTAAATAGCACGGAAAATTGTTTGTTTAGAAATTAGTTGTTGGGCTGTTTGGCTCACTTGACAATGGGAGACAAGTTATTGAGCATGCCTGACAAGCATTACAATACAATAATCATAGTAGGTCCTTCTATTTTGTTTTCTCTTGAAGTTTCTTGGGAAAGTTTTTAATATGAAGCTATTTGAGTTAAGGAGTTTCTAGGTAGAAAAAGTTCTGATAGCTGAGCAGCAGCTGGTCTCCGGCTGAAGGTCATGTGAATAGAATAGTCCTTTGATGCTTAGGCTTTAGCTGATAGGGATGCACTGGCGGTTATTCACTGTTTTAAATAATTGTCTAAATGAAAAAATAAGTAGCTTTAATGTTAGGTTTGGTTTATTATCTGTTAACCTTGAAAGCTGCCGTCTAGCTGAGACCTGTAGGGGCCAGTGGTCTATGGGAAACATAATATACTAATTGTTTATGCTTTACACATGATAATGTATTTTCTTCTTATTATTACTAATAATGAATAAATAAAGACCTGCTGAGTCTCTCGGCAGAAGATACTTGCACCTCATCCAAGTGTTAGTGTCTCCTCACTACCTCATCCCCTTCCCTTCAGCCCTTAAGTTTCAGCCCTTTCGTTTTCGCCGACGCCGTCTCATCCTTTCAGGAACCCCTGACACGACATTTTGCCGGAGGCTGGTCCCCGGCAGTGCAGCAGCAGCAGCAGCAGCTGCACACAGTGGGGCTCTGGTGCTTCTTGGGGCCAGGGGGAGCAGGCTTCTTCGCCCTCACAGATTAGCCTCGGCTTCCCCACAGTTGTGTGGTGTGAAGGGTGCTCTGCCTGGCGTGGGGCCGTGAAGTCACACACTGTGGGGAGCTCCTGGGCTTTGCCGCTTCATCCCCTACCGAGGGGCCGCCCGGGGACTGTGGAGAGAGAGCGCCGGAGGAGCGGGGGCAGGCAGTGGGAGCACGTGGACTCCCAGCTCCCCACATACTCAGGAGGGTTATTTATGCCATCGCCCTGGCCCGAACCCCACTGGGCCTCATCTACCACCGGATTCTGGTCTTGAAGTTTCTTTTCATTCCCTCTCTGAGGAGGCGACCCCCAAGGGAAGGTTCTACCATGTGGGACTGACCCCTGGGCCTCCTCCCAAAGAGCCTGTTTCTCCTGTAGGCCTCCTCCTCCCGCTGTGATGGGGAAACAGGCTCCTTTTTCCCTATCCCCCATCTTGGCCTCCCCTGTCCCCCGCGTTGGCTCATGTGTTCGGCAGTGGGACCCTGGAGGACTCACCACAGGTCTTCCAGGGCCAAGCATAGCAGCGCTGCCCTGCTCCAGTCCCCAGCAGGCTGCTCCCTAGGGACCCTGCAGGTCAGCCCAGGAAAGGCTGAGCTGCGGACTGTGCCTCCAGACCGTCCTTCCCCTTTCCTGCCAGGATTGAGCCGTTTGCTCTTATGACTCATCTCCCTGAACTCTAGAACTGTGGTTCTCAAAGCAAGGTTCCCCTGGCAGCATCTGCATCCCCCAGAAAACACTAGAAATGCAACTGATTGGGTCCTGCCCTAGAACTCCTGAATCCAAGATTCTGATGCAAAGTGCGCTGGAAAACCTCTGGTCTGTCTCTGAGGCCTGCTCAGTGGGGCGGGGCGTGTCCTCGGCTCTTATTCAATGGGTGTCCGATGAGCCAGCAGTGACTGCTCAGTAGAGACTGCTGATAATTCCTTCAGCAAATGTTTGCCGGATGCCCACCTGCACTGGGGTCTTGGCCTGGGTCCCTTCTCCTGCACCCCTAGAGGTCAGATCCAGTGGGGAAGCCCCCTCCCCTCCAAGGTCAGGAACGGGTGGGAGGACGACCCAGACCCTTTCCGGGAGAGCAGCGTCAGGCCCGCCGTGCTGGCTCAGGTCTGTCCAGGCGTCAGACTCAGGACTGGCCACGCCAAGAGGCAGGCAGGAAAATGGACATTTCCCCCAAGCTTGGGGAGATTGGCTGGACCAAGAGTGATGGTCGGAGGGTGGCCGCCCCCTGCGTGGTGAGAAACCGGTCCCCTCTCTCCCTCCAGTGTGGGGCTGCCTTCCAGGAGGATGACGTCATCGTGCTCAATGGCACCAAGGAGGATGTGGAAGTGCTGAAGGGCAGGATGGAGGAGAGGAGGCTGAGAGCGAGGCTGGGCAAGGTAAGCGAGTCGTCGGGTGGGGGACGCTCCCCATGCGTTCAGCATCAGGTTTGTAGGAGAAGAATCCCAAACTCGGCTAGTACGGACAGCTCAGACACGGCTTCAGAGACAGTGAGGCTGAACGAGGGTCCACCCTGCGCTAAGGTGAGGCTGGGGCCTCACCGGGAGAGCGGGGCCTCGGACAAAGACCAGCTGCCCTGTGAGATGTTTGCCCTGACCGAGAGAGGGTCTCTCCAGAGGAGGGTATTTCTGGTAGCAGCCCCAGTGGGGTCAGACCCCCAATATTCATGCTTCTAGGTGGTGAAGGGGCAGTAACAGTTCTTGGGGGCCTGCTCGCCACTGACCTTGAGTTGATCTGGTCCTCGGGCCTATGTGCACGTCCTGGGCAGTCAGTCCACAAGTTGTTGCATCTGTGCCTCGGCGCCCAGGGTCCTGATGGAAGTCAGGGCTGCCTGCAGACCACCCACCGCCTCCCTGGCAGCTGCTTGGGGTTGCAGTGATGGGGGCTCTTGTTTTCACCTGGAAGGGTCAGGGCTCAGCCACAGGGCAGCCTGTTCTTTCTCACTCAGCTGCAGCTGCTGCAGCTGTGCAGTGGGGAGACTCACACTCCTGCGCAGGGCAGCGGCTGCAGAGATCAGCCTGCTTGGAAGCGCCCAGACTGGGCGTCCAGAACTTGTAAAGCAAGGGAAAGCAGAACCTCCCGCCGGGCCTGGACATGACCACCCCTCCCCTAGGCCTGCTGGAACCCCTCCCGGGGAGTCTGGTTCTGAGGGGCCAGGAGGGTGGGAGGGAGGATGAGCAGCAGAGTTGCTGCAGCCTCGTGAGCTCACAGTTCTGTGTTGACAGACAGCTGTGCCAGATTGGTGCTTTTTTTTTCAAGCTAGGTTTGGGGCACATGAAGAATATGGTCAGAACTGAGGAGAGGGCCTCCCCGGTGGCGCAGCGTTTGAGCGCTGCTTGCGAAGCTGCCGCAGCCTCTGCAGCGCAGGTTCAATCCCCGGCCGCCGGGCGAGGGTCCCACATGGCACGCAGACCTCTCCTGCCGCCCGCTGCTCCTCTCAGCAGTGTATTTCGGTCCTTCTGCCTATTCTGTTCCCCGCTCTGGCTCTGGTGAATTCTCTCACCCTCCCGCGCTTCTGACTGTACCCAGTGCTTGTATAAATAAAGAGAAAATCTTTAAAAAAAAAAAAACAAAAAACTGAGGAGAGAAGCAGGGGTGCACCGCGGGCGAGAGCCGGTCACACCCACAGTGACTGACACTCAGCCTCCCCGGGCTGGCTTGACTCTCATCGGAGCAGAGAAGGGCGCGCTGGGAGTTTGCCCGGGATTGGTACATAGAAAGCCGAGGCTCGAGTGTGGCCGCGGTGTTCCTGTGTGTGCGTCCAGAGCCCCGGAGCCGCCGGTCCACACACGTGTCCTCCTTACATGAGTTTACAGGGGTGGGGACTGAGATCAGTGGTTGTCAGGAGCGAGGAACCCTGTCATCCTGGTTTCTCCTGGAGGTGCTATTCAGTGTCCCGCTTTCCCCGCTCTTGAAACCCTTTGTGAACAGCTTTGTGGCGCCACAGCTCGCATACCATCCAGTCAGAAAGTCACGCACTAGCTGTGTTCTGTGAAGCGTTGAAAGGGCCTCCGGCCGCGTCAGATGCGTGCAGGCCAGTGAGAGCTCATTCCGCAGGGGGCTCTGCACGAGTGCGTCCACCGGCCCGTGCGCAGGCAGGAAGATGGCTTGAGAGATTTTTGAGCGAGCACAGCCTGGAGGAGGCCTGCTTGGTCTTCGCCGCGCCCACCCACCCAGCTCAGGTTATGAGGCACAGAAGGGAGCGGCGGCCACGCTCCCCAGCAAGCACCGTCACCGCGGGACAGCTTTTCTGCTCGTCCCAGGCTCCCTGCCAGGTTGTTCAAAACCCAGTGGAGCTCAGGGGCCCTCTCCCCGGAGCTTGTGGGAATGCCGCTTAGCTACTGCTGCCAGGGCACCAAAATATTTCCCAAATATGCTCACAGCTGGAAGCAGGGCACTGCGCTTCCTCTCTGAGCTCCTGGTGCTGGGCTTTCCCGATAATCAGCCGGGCACGCAGGCTGTGGAGACCCTGTGTTCTGGGTTATCTGGGTTATTTTATTAAAGGATTTACCCTTGTGCTCGCGCGTGCATGCGCGTGTGTGTGTGAGTGTGTGAGAGAAAGGAGCAGGGATTTTTTCTGCTTTGTGCAAGCATTATAAACCACATTGAGTGTATTTATTACAAGTTCGTCCATGGCCAGAGACAGGCCTTTTTTCCTGTTCCTAGCGGTGGGAACCTTCGAGAGGACGCGCTGCTTGTCTTCAGCGCCACCTTTTGGATCCCTAGGGAGATGGCACTTTCTAAGTAAATTTCTCTGAATGGTCTTTTCTGCACCTGACTCGCTGCTAGCGCAGCTGGACGCTGCTCCCACTCTGAGATGGCTGTTTGATGTAAGTGCTTGCTGACCGATAGTATCACTAGGAGCGGCAGAATTCTAGTGCCTAGAAACTTAACAAGGGCACCCGGAGCTCAGGAAATTGGGCAAAGCGCTCTTCATGTCAAGCCTCCAGGCCCCCGTAGCTAAATAAACAGCAGCAGAGCAGCTGGACACATGGAGCGACGGGGGTGGGTGAGGCTCAGCGCAGGTAGGTGCTGCCGCCTTCCCGTGCCTGCGCCACGCCTGTGCCCCTCCCTGTTCTTTGGGGTGCGTCGCTCCCCGCTGACGGTGACTTAGCGCTCAAATCTGTCGTCTTCATTTGAAATTTTTGAGCATGTGGTTTTTGGAACCTAAATACAAAACTAAGCTGGTCTCCACAGATAGGTTCTGTGTGAGGAAAAACCTGTCACTAGAAACCCCCGCGGGGGCCCGAGGGGTGCAAGGAGGAGAATGTGGGCCAGCGTCCCCCTCAGCACCTGCCTGGCCACTGCATCAGCAGTCAGGGGGCCTGGCCAGGGGCAGCCGCCTGGCGCTGACTACACGTCGTCCTCTCTCTTTTACAGAAAACAAAGAAGCCCAAGGTGGCAGAGTCGGTCTCAAAAGCAGACGTGAGTGAAGGTGAGGTGCTAACAGGGCGCCGCGTCCCGAGGGAGTCCTTGCCTGGCTTTGGTTTGCTGACATTGTTCCTTGTACAGAATCCCCAGGACCATCCAAACCTAAGCCCGGGAAGCCTGAAGAAGCCAGCCTTGATTCTAGAGAGAAGAAGGTCAACTCGGCTCCCAAAAACACAGGTGGGTCCCAGTGAGCGAGCGGAAGGCCTTGAGGAAGCTGGATTCCAGAAAACCAAGCCATCCTGAGTCACGTCTCTGAAGAGTTCATGGAGCGTGTGTGGGGGTGGGGCTGAGAGAAGCGGTACCCCCACAGCAAGGGCCCCCCAGTATGCAAAGGGTCTGGGCGCTAACGCTGATGGTTCGGTTTTCCTCTGGACCAGGCCCTTGGTGTCCAGGGACCTGGACTCAGACCTGCCGTAGACTGGTCAGGCCTTTCCAGACTCCCTATCTGGAAGGTGAAGGAAATAGTGTTTATTTCACAAAAAGGAAAACACCCCCATGGGGTGTGCGTCTTGGGCTGTGACCAGCGGGTTCCGGGCCCCCTGAGCACACAGTGGGCCCTGCCTGGGTAGGGGTAGGGGCCCGCGCCGGCCTCCCGGTGCCTCCCTCTCCGCCGGGGAGCAGGCGCCGCGTCCCGGGGGCCGGGCAGAGCACGCCGGCGCTGCTGTGCGTTCAGGCGCTCTGCGGGCTTGGGGTGGGGACGCGTGTCCACACTCGCGCCCAGGGGAGGAGACTGCCTGGGTCGGCAGTTGTGCTTCCGGCCCCTTGTGCGAATGTGAACGCGGAGTGACCGCTGCTCCCACCTTTAAGGCCTTGGCTTCCCTTTTTGCAGCAGCCGGCGGGAGCACTTCTGGAAAAGCTGGGAAGCCGCCGTGTGGAGCCCCAAAGAGGGGCATCGCCGACAGCGAGGAGTCCGAAGCCTACAAGTCCCTCTTCACGACTCACAGCTCCGCCAAGCGCTCCAAGGAGGAGTCGGCCCACTGGGTCACCCACACGTCCTACTGCTTCTGAGGCCCGTGTGGCCGCGGCCCTCCGGGGGCTTCTCCCTGGCGCCCCGCAGGGTGCCGCGAGCCTCTTCCCGGCCGCGGACCCCCGGGCTCGCTCCGCCACGAGGCGGGTGGTGACCGGCCAGGGCTGCGGGCGCTGCCTGCAGAGGCACTTGCACCTCGCCCGGCCTGGGAAGCCGAGGACGCGCCTTTTGTGCTTAAATAAAGAGCCCCGGTCCCTCACGGCTGTGCGGCCAGCTCAACTGGATTAAAATTCTCATGGTTTTGCTGCCAACCGTGAAGTGAAGCGTGTGGGGCGCGGGGCCCGGGGCTAGTGGTGGGGCGGGTCCTCCTCTCGCCTTCTGCAGACACAGGCGGCGGAGGCGGGCGCCTGACAGCTGGGTCCAAAGCTAAAGCTGGTCTGCGGCCTCCTCCTGTCTGTCGTCTGCCTTCCGCCGCCTCGGATGTTCCGGGAAGGCGCCGCGGCCTGGGGAGTGCCAGGCCGCAGGTGCCAGTCGTGCTGCCGTCCTGTCCCCCGTAAAGCACTGTAGTGCGGGGACCCCCTCCCGGGTCCCGGTCAGAGCTGGTCAGCCCTGGTCTCGTGTCCTGCCTGCGGGTGTGGGAGGTGGGGAGTGGTTTCCTCAGCCCGGCTGGGGCGGCGGCGGGAGCGGGAGGAGGGTGCGGGGAGCGCCTGGGCTCCGAGACGGGCGCCGTGGACGTGGACATGGGCGCATTCTCATCAGGAGCGCGAGAGCAACAGTGGGCTGTGTTGTGGACATTTCCAGGACCAGCCAAGATGAACTATTTTCTTTACCTGACCTTTCCCAGCACCAAGTCCACCATTTTCCCCTTCTCCTTTCAAGACAAGCAGCACCTTAGCTGCTTCAGATTACTCACTACCAGCTGCGTGTTCCTGTTTTCCTCTGACGAGGAAGACGTGACTTCTCAGCCCTTTCAGCCCAGAGCCCGCTGCAGCTGACCCTGCCGCTGGCGTCTCCCGCGGCCACCTGCCTGCTTCAGCGGGGCCCGCCCCCGCCAGGGTAACTGAGTTCATCAGGCTTGTCACACCACCAGCCTCTCTGGCTATCACCTATGGCCTTGATCGTGCTACGTGGACTGCACATGGCTGTGTGCGCGTGTGCAAGCATGCACACTTGTGCCTAGGAGGGAGGGGATTAAAAAGGCGGGTCTCAGGCCTCCCCTGGTGGCGCAGCGGTTGAGCGCTGGGCTGAGAGCTGCCCGCAGCCTCTGCAGCGCTGGTTCGTTCCGGCCACCAGTGAGGGTCCCACTAAAAAAAAAAAAAAAAAGGCGGGTCTCCCTGAGGAGAAGGGCTGGCCCTGGGGATTCCTGCCAGCCTTTAGCTCCGAGCAAAACCTTGTCCTCAGAGGTAGGAGGGGATCTTCCCCGCCGGAGGGGAGAGCAGTGCCCACCTCACCCCAGCAAGGCAGCCCGGCCCGCGGCGCAAGGACCTGGAGTGCCCACCCTTGTCCTACCTGTTTCCTTCACACTGTTGTTACCAGAATTTTAATAAATGATGCTCTTAATTAACGCAGAGACTGCACACTCAGGAAAGGTCCCTGACGGTAACAGTGAGGCACTAGGGAGTGGTGGGGACTGTGGAAAGAAAACGGTCACGTACAGGGCTGTTTCAATTTGGCAACAACAGAGCGACCCTGTGTTATCAGCCTTTCAGCACTTCCTAAGCAGCCCAGAAAGCTGGGCTTTTAACATGAAGTGCCTCCAACATTTAAATATTGGCGAAGATTGCTTTTTGGAAACAATGGAGGCAAACAAGCATCGGTGGCTCCTCCCTGGTAGCCTCTGGATTAGTGTCACTTTCCCACTACACTCTTAGCCCCACAGGGGCGTTTGCCACATCTGGTCTGCTCACCACCAGCTCTCCATTCAACAAACAAGAAGTGGAAATGGGTGATAACCTCTCCAACAATGCACAAAAGCAGAAAGAATATTCTGGCAAGGAAATGGCATTCCATTATTCTCATCCCCTCTGTTATTGCCCGCTGGCGATTTCTCTATCTCCCTTTAAGTCCTGTTCCTGGGAGGCCACTAGAAGTCTTGTTGCCCTCATCACAATGCTCAGAGTGGCTTCTGGCTCCAGGCCTCTGTGACATCATCAGCAACCCAGCCCTAGGTGCCCAGTCTCCAGGTGCCAAGGCAAACAGACCCATCATGAGCAACTTCCTCCCCCATCTCTGCTCACCATGTGGACGCTGAAATGGTTCCTGTTCTTGCCTCTGTGCCTCTCCTGTGGCTGTGCCTTTATGTTTTCTTCTCTGAGAGATAAGGCCCAAGATCCCCAGGGGAAGGTGCCTTGTGGAGGGCACTTTCGGATCAGGCAGAATCTACCAGAGCATGCCCAAGGCTGGCTTGGGAGCAAATGGCTCTGGCTTTTTTTTATTGTTGTGCTGTATGTGATTCTAAAGTTTCGAGGAGATAGTGAGAAGACTAAGGTGAGAGGCTCCATTTTGTACCTAAGGTTGATTCCAGTGTTCTAGTGAGTATAGGCAACACCACAGTCAGGTGTAATGGGTTGGGATGCAAAGTACTGCCTTGGCCCTGGGAGACACTGGCCAAGTCATTTCTTGGGGTGTCTGCAGAGAGACAGTCGTCCCCAGGCCTGCAGAAGCAGAATGAAGGCTGAGCGTTGAAGACACCCTTCTTTTGATCGGGTGACCAGAACCTTGATAGGTATCCTACCGAGAGAGTTTGTTCAAATCGAAGAAAGAGTCCAGAGCTTGATAGGTTACAGGTCAAAACTACAGGGTGACGGCCTCTGAGCTTTAATTTCCTTAGCATTGAGTCTATTACAAGTAGCTGAACTGAATAGAAATGGTATCCCTCTTCCAAGCACAGAGAAAGACCTGTCCTGAAGGGATAAATTTGTACAGAAGTTAGAGGTTAACCAAGTCTCAGAGGGGCAAAGGTGGGGGTGGGGAACTAGGGCAGAATGTTCTAGGCAGACCTCACTCTGCGACAGTGTGTCCAAACCCACCAGAGCCGGGCTTGGCAAACTGCTGTAAAGGGTCAGATGGTAAATACCTTTGTCTTTCCATCCCAGAGGGTCTCTGGTGCAAACCTCACCCAGCCCTTGTGGCATGAAGCAGCCATAGGCAATATGCAAGTGAAGGAGCACAGCTGAGTGCCAATAAAACTTTATTGACAAAAACAGATGGTGGGCCAGATTGGGTTCGTGTTTGCTAAACCCTGAACTAGACAAGGCTGGACCCATCTTCTCTGAGGTGAGCCCAGCTCTCTTAGACAAAGCAACGTAGTCAACAATATGATTCACCCTCTTTCTTGACAGGAGCAGACTCTTCCTGGCCTTCGAGGCTGCACGTTTCGCTCTCCAATAAAGAAAAATCAAAACGCTTCCCCCAGCAAAGACTACGCGTTCAATACCTTAACCCAGCTCGAGATGGACCTGGTGAAATTTGTGTCCAAGGTGCGGAATCTGAAAGTCGCCATGGCAGCTGGCGGCAACCTCAAGCTCCCGCACCAGGAGGGGCCCACAGACCCGCACAATAACATTACGATATATGAGATTTGGGGAGAAGAGGACTCCGAATGAGTGAGCTAGTGTGTAACTGTGGGAGGGAAGACGCTGCGTGTTGACAAACCATATTCAAACTAATAAAACTATTCTGAAGACCCGTTCTCATTTTTGAAACTTGAAAAAAATAAACGCGAGGCCGGTATCCAGAGGGGCCGTTGTTGTGTTTCTCACTTTCCTACTTCCTCAGAGCTGTGGGGAGTGAGCAGTGACGGTGGCTTCTGGTGATGCTCTTGGCCAGGGTGCCAAGGCCGCGGAGGCCAGGGAAGCTGGGGGGGAGAGGCTGAAAGCACCTGTTCAAAAGGTGGAGGTGATTTTTATCTTCATGATTTGTCATGTAACAATGGATGGCCTTCATTACAGGGTTTGGGTTTTTTTTTAAGGATTTGTTTATGCATACAAGAACTGGGGTGTAGGCCAGAGGTGCAGGGGGTGGATGGAAGGATTCACCAGAAACAAAGTGGGGAGAACAGGCTGAGGGGAGCAGGGGGGAGACAGGAGAGGTCAGCCGTGGCCATGTGGGTAGCTCCCTGGCTGGGGATCCAACTCGTGCTGCAGTGGCTGGCGATAGCTTCATAGTGCTGAGACTCAACCCCTTGTGCCACCAGGGAGGGCCCGGTTGTGAGCACTTTAAATAGTTGAAAATATCAAAAGATGAGCACTAGCTCGTGATGTGTAATTCAGACCTGCGTGCCCACCAATAGATCGTGGAGGGCAGCCACACGCTTCCCCAGCACGCTGCCCGCAGCCATTCGTGCTAAGGGTAGAGCTGGTGACCGGGACAGACCCCGCCAGGACCCTCAAGGCCAAACGTCATCACCACCTTGGCCTTGCGCCCTCCTAGGACCTGGACCTGCCCCCTCCCAGCTGCACCGGGCCAAGCCTGCCTCTGCCTCCGGGATGTGCACTGCCTCTCTCTGGGGGCGTTGGCCTCCAGAGGCTGCCTCCTCAGAGAAGCCCTCCCTGACCCCCAGCTAAAGCGCCCTTCCAGGCACACTTCCCATGTCACCTGCTTTGTTCTGTTTCTGCGCCGCTTGCATGACTGCATCCACGGGGGTCTGCACCGCCCTCGGGGGCCCTCCCGCCCCTTGCACCCCATGGTAGCTGCAGAGACCCGGGCGCATGGCCTGCAGTTCCGGGGGATCGCCACTCGGTGGCAGGCAAAGCCCACACAGAGAACAGCACCGGCCACGCTCGCGTGGAAGCTGAATAGTCAGGGCTGTGACTACCAGCGGCGCCCAGTGTCCACAGCCCTAGTCACTGTGGCGGCATCAGGCGCCATCTGTTAATTACTCCTTCGTTCGAGTGCTTGTCCTTCTAGGCACTGGGGAGAAGGCGACCAAGACTGCAGACCAACGTTCCCTCTCCCCCAGCCCCCACCCTCAGCTTGCGTCCTGCTGGGGGGATAATGAACAAAACACATTCATTGTCTAGTTCCCTAGAGAAGGAGGGAGGGAGGGGGGCAGGGAGTGAGCTGTGGGTTTACAAGCTGAAAAGGACTCCCTGAGGGCTGGTTACCTGAGGACGTGAGTCCCAAGCCAACTCAAGAGAGGGGGGCTGAGAAGGAGATGCAAAGGCCCTGGGGCAGGTGGAGAAACTGAGCGTGAGCAGAGGCGCACCCAAGAGAGTTGAGGAGGGAGGAGACTGGAACCGGGTGTGAGTCCTGGAGGCCTTGCAGGGTACCCACCTGCCCACCTATCTACCTACTACTGGCGGGACCCTGGACTCTCACCCTTCTAGGTGAGCGCTGGGGGAGAGAAGACAGACCCCCCTCAGATGCCTGAAAGAGGACTCCCTACCCGCTCCCCAGACCCGCCGTTCACCCACGTGCCAGGTTTCTATTCACCTCCCCAGGACAGACTCCAAGGGGGGCTCTCTGTCCCCAGGGTCCCTAAGTGTGTCGGGTGGGGGGTGCAGATGGGCCTCCCAGGGGGCCTGAGGTGTGCTGAACTGGGCCAGGAGGGCTGTCAAGGAAGCGGTGCCGTCTGGGCTGCCCACCGGGGCCTCTGCCCCACTCCAGCCTCTTCCCTCCTTCCTGTGGCCTCCGGCAGCAGCGAGTGAGAGCGGCCCCCCAGCGGCCTAGGCCAGTGGGCTGGGGTGTCTGTCCCCTCCTCGCTCCTGGGCAACGAAACCCTCGTCGCGTGCGCTCCCGCGAGCAGAGCCTCTTGACAATCTCCCTTTGCTGAGGCCACCGCGGGATACGCCCCTGCGGTCCCCGAGGAAAAGGAGCTTTGACAGAATCTTTCTTTTCTCTTAATAACCTCATCCCCACTTCGTGCCCACCACAAACACCTTCCAGCTGCCCGGCAGGGCTTTTCCACCGACCAGCTGGGATGCTGCCTGGTTGGTGAACCACTTCATCAAGCCAATTAAACCTCCGCATTTATTCGGATGAATCTTGGTTTTAACCGCACGTAACACAGTTATTGATTCTTTGTCTGAAAGATATAAAAATTGTGCCAACTTTGGTTACTTTTTTGTGCAAAGTAAATGTCCTTCTACTGTGCAATAAAGGATGCCTGGCGAGGCAGGTGGGCCGCGACCGGGCCGGCCGGCTGGGTCGGGTGTGAATTCCCCTCCCTCCGTCCTGTCCACACCTTCCTTGACTCCTGGCTGCCGTTTATAAAGCACCGAATCTGTGCTGTGAGCAACATGTGAATTCTTTCATTCCCGACATGTAATTTTTCCAGCTGTACTGAGCTATAACTGACGTGCAGTATTGCACAAGGTACAGGTGTGTGACGTGGTGGTGGGTAGACACGGGGTAGACGGCAGGATGGTTGCTGTGTCACCGCACTCGGGGAGAACAGCCTTTGTCTTCCTCCCCTGCATGCCAGCCGGCCCTCTCGCGGCCCACCTACCCCACCAGGCATCCTTTATTCCACAGATATTGACTCCTGTGGGCCGCGCCTGCCCTGGGCACTGGGACACGGAGGTCATCAGATTGTGGGATTTGTTCTCTGAGGACTACCCGACAATAAGGGGAGAGAGTCGCGGCCAATAGCTGCATAAATGTGGAACTGCCTGTTCAAAGAGTCAGTGCTGTGAAGAGCAGTGTGCCGGAGGAGGGTTCTCTTGAGCCAGGTGGCGGGGAAGACCTTTCAGAGGACACTTGGAACACATCTGTGATGTGAAGGGCACGGCTGTGACAGGAGCACTCCGGGCAGCTGGAAGAGCAAGTGCAAAGGCCCTGGGGCCCTTCTAGAAAGCTGCTCCATGCTTGCACAGGCAGACCTCCCTCTGTAAATAGACCTTTGTGTCTATTTGTGTCGTGACTGGATCCCTGTGGAGAGGGCTGGCCATCCCAAATGATCCCTCTCGGACATAAAGATTATTTTGAGTTGAAGGAAACTGAAAATCAGCAGATGCAGGAAGAATTCTCTGTCTTCCCTTGTTTGCCTAAAAGCATGATTCCTTTGTCCTCAAGGACAGGGAGTTGATACCAAGATGAGTTTGCGAAAACAGACCTTAGCAAAAAGCCCTTGCTTTCATTAGTACCCCTTGAATATATCCTCGTCCCGTCCCCATAATTTATCCCTTAAAGCTCAAACCGTCTCTCCCTTGTTACAGCGGGATGTCAGCCCTGACACAACTACTCTGCGTTTCACTTCCTTTCTGGGAATTTCCATACACACGAACATTGATAAAAATTGTCTTTTCTTCTCTTCATGTGTCTCTTGTTAGTTTAATTTACAGGCCCCTGTTTACTGAGCCTAAGAGGGTGGAGGAAGAGATTTCCCTCCCCAACGGCTTCAATCGTCTATCCTCAATACATTTTGGTTATCATGATTCTGGGGTTTGGATGTACCACAATCCAACCAGGTCCCTGAGTGATGTCTAGGGTCTCCCCAATGTTTTGTTATCCTAAACACATACGGCACCTATTTCCCCAGACTGGGCAGCATCTGATGATCCCCAAACAGCACAACTACCATCTGCCAGTGTTTGGGTTTGCTCGACAGTCACCAAACACCGCCTGCACCGCCAGGCTCCAAACTGAAAGCAAAAAGCTGGAATGGCTTACACTTGACTAATTTTAGAATTTCTAAGTAGAGTTAAGTGATGACTCAGCCCATGGGAAGCTCCAAGCTGCCGGATGGATGGGCCATCTGCCTCATCAGAATGTAAGACGCTTGCCTGGCAACCCGGGAAGGCACCAGAGAGGAAGACAAAAGCATTTTTAATCACCGAGGGCCGGTCCTGGGGCACATTAGCGGACTGTCAGCATCTTGAGGACAGGAATGTTGTGCTATAAATCAACTGCATAATGCCTGGACCTGCTTTCCTATAAAATATTTCTTTCTTTTCTGATTATATTATAAAAGCAATGCAACCAAAAGTGCAGGCAACACAGGGTTCACTCTGTGACCAGCAGCACCCAAGAGTGTGAGCCCCTCACAACCTAGGCTGTGTCCAGGATGGACCTAAGAAAGAAGATGGCAGCTTCGGAGGATGGTGGGTACACCTGAGAGAAAGGGGGTGCCCCAGAGGCTTCTATGTCCTTATTTTAAAAGTCCCTTCCCAGAAGCCCTTCTCCTTAACCCGTGTGTTCCAGCCCTGCTCCCTCTCGCTTCCTGCCAGGGAAACTTGGGCTCAATTTCCACTTCCTCACCAGTGACACAGAGGTGAGAGCAGGGGCCCCTGAGAATCCGTCTCCACCTCACCTGCTATTCATGTCTTTGTATGCCCCAAGTTGGGAGGGTGTGGGGATCATGTTGGTCCCCTGCTTTGGGATTTGCGAGGTGACCAGCCCTGAAGCCTAGGATCTTAGGTCCCCAGCTCCTCTGAAGTGTTCTAGTTCCTGGGAAACTGGTTGGCAGGCATGGAAGCTTCATGAGGCTGCTCAAAGATTTCTGGAGCCAGTGGCCCAAGGTTGCTAAACCAGGAGGTAGCAACAAAGGAAGTGGAAGGGTCACATTCTTTCCCATAGGATCTGAAGCTTCAGTGACAACTGAAAAAAGGATCCAAGCTTCCTCATTCCTTCCAGGCAGGACCGGCTGCACGATATATCAGGCTCAAAATCTCTACAGAGCTGGTTTCCATGAAGCTGGAAGGTTTCTCTTCTGACTCAAGCCAAATGATAGAAGCATGATATGAATGTGTGGGGGCGGGGGGCATCCACATTACAGCAGAATAAGCACACG